CCAAATTAGGACCAAAGTGTTGAGTCCTTTTCGACACGTGAACTATTATGAAATATTCCTCTATATTCCATGAAAATCAGAGAACCCAACATCTTTCCTGTCTAACAAATATCCTACATCTCAGAATCAAGATATAATTTCAAAGAGTCAACAAACTAAAAGTGGATGACCTTAGCAGTGCTTGATATCAGCAGGAGCAAAATGTATACTCTTATCTATTGATCAACTGATCAACGTCGTAATTTCTAGTAATAAGTTTGATTATTAGCTAGAATATCATCAAAATGAAACACTTTACATAAATTCTACTAATAACTAATATTTGGAACGTATTTCTTAAAATAATACTACTGATAAGTTTGATAAGTATGAAATTTTATGATGTAAGTAAAATTACATAATAGTGAGATTTATTTAATAAGTCTATTGAATATAAAATCAATCTTAACTATGAGTCTTAATACTTAATCTAACATTCAGGTACATTTGTGACTAAACTTGTCAGATATCAGCTTAGCTCTTGTAAAATCATTAACACTTGCCATTATCTATGTTACCCTTTCTTTATATTTTGTGTAACTATGAACTATTCAGTTAAATATTGATGATACTTATTTTATATAATCTAACTTACATGAAATATGTTTCATGTTCCTTCATCCAACTAAACAAAAATTGTATCAGAATAGAATTTAGCAGAATTTTCGCAAAACATTTTTGCTCTGTTCCGTATCATTTTTTAGTACAAACTACCAATTCTACATTATTCTCCTGTAATGTATTCAGTCTATTGTATTATTCTATAAAGTACTTTTAGTGAAAAAAAGTCGTAAGAACTTGGATAAACTGACTATTGATCATGTTATATTCGGTCGTCGCAACTATTGTGCCGAAAAACGCTGATCACTTATATTCGGAACGAGGGACTTCGGCAATTCCCACGATGCGAAAGTAAGAACACAAAACTGATATAAGTGAAGATTTATTAGCGCCAAACACTATGACGATGACGAATCAAAATAGTCTAAAATACACTGGTTTATATATTGATTGTACATCCATTTTGATTAATAATGCGGATTAGATCACATGCTCAGTTATAAAAAATCACTTATTGAGCCTAGTTCATGTCAAGTGAATACAAGAATATCGTATATTATACAGAAGAAAATATCATACTGGGAAAACAAATCAAATACTACACTGAATGAGTCTCACGTTGAATCAAACGGATGTAATGTTGAATAAAACTCATTATGAGTAATTCAGTCGAAAATTGACTTTTCTTACCATCATATCAGATCACGATGCTTCATTAAAGTTGAACTTTAAATTTTCAGATTAAATCTATCAAAATGGTATATATAACTACTGAATGTTGAATCCTAGTCTGTTATATAGTTCAGTAACAATAAAATGATACAGTTCTGCCCTATGAAAATTATTCACCTATTTTATTTAATTGATCGTATGTAAGTACACAGTGCAAGTGATGAGCTTTTGCATTGTATAATAACTGAGATACCTAGACCAGTTGAGTTCAGTAATGTCATGTGTGGGAAATTTATCCACCGATGATATTAGAAGGCTGTTGCATATTACAGCAAACTAAACGAAGTTATGCATGTAAAGTCTTGGGTGATAAATTATTGGTCTGAAAGCTAGATACTTACTACGAAACATTAAAGTATTGGGTTAGATTCCTTATAGGGTGCGTAGATGTAAGAAGTCTCATATCAGGATGAAAAAGCTATCCAGTAGCTCCTGGTTTTAACTGTTTATCTAACTCAGTTTAATATATATATGTAGTGTCGGTTACTATGTTAAGCCAATATAATTTATTCTAGCCTCTGGACAAGCCAATTTATTGATCCTCCTTAAGTCACATTTTGACCTTGTTAATTATGCGCTTATTAACCCTGACCATTTTTATATGAGCCTATGTGTCTGTGTACATCTTATCCTACTCATCACATGTATGTAGCGTATTTTTGTGTGACTATAAATATTGATTAACGCTTGATTAAATAGAGTTGGCTCACACGCCTTCTCTACCGCGCGTCGTTTCGCACCGCTCTCTTCTCTTCGCATTATTCTTCTGATTGTCTGTTCAAATCAATAAGTGTACAAAATAAACGTATTCAAAAGTGCATTCTCATATTTACCTTATTTAATTCCGTTTTTCACTTACGCGGATTAAGTCGATAATTTATACAAGGATTGACGATATATATATATATATATATATATATATATATATATATATATATATATATATATATATATATATATATATATATATATATATATATATATATTAACAACAATCGTACCATCTAATTGGAGTCAGATCTCAAACCACAAAAGTGATGAGCCCGTCTATAACATCGTCCGATCTAACTGACTTTAAAATGAAGGGCCCTATTAAATGTATGATGTCAACCATAAAGTTCATCAATCTTTACAATTCCATTAGTGTAATAAACGTCCACTGATCTTCCGGAATGACAACGATTAAAAGAACACGGAACTCAACAATAAAATTATTATCCAGTGAATACTTTCTAAACTTCTACATTTCTAAGAAAATATGATGTTTCATGTCAAAATTTACATAAAGTAGTATAAACAAAATGAAGTAATCTTGATAATAACCATTTTATTCACTCTAATCTTGTCTTATTAACTCGTATTGATAACAAAATATTGAAAATAAGGTTGAAAACAATACTTTTATTCATACATCTATGTTTCAATACGAAAATTTGTGAGTGGTTAAAAAACTACTCCACTATGTACTACTTACTTAAAACGAAATTTAGTAATATATATCTATATTCTAAATAACTATGGAATGTATGTCAATTTTCAGTCATGATAAGGGTTGATACAAATATACAAAACCCCCTTCTGATAATAATCACCATATGGTCGTTAGTGACTGGCTCCAAGAGGTATTTCCTGGAGTTCTAGTGAGAAGCAGTGACTAGTGGAGTTCAACTAGGTCTGTTATGAGATAGTAACTCACTGAAGACAATGGTGGTCGGTGGCTCAATTTTGTGGATTAGTAGAAGTTAGACATAAACGCCATAAGATTCCGGCTTAGTAACCTAGATACTACGTGCTCGCGCGCGAGAACTATTTGTCCTGTGTTCGAATCTTGAGGAGGAGTCCCATACAAGGACGGAATGGTCGTCCAGTGCTTCCAGGTTTTCCATGGTGATCTAGTTGACTCAACGATAATATAACATTTGTAAACAAGTCAGAATGCATTATTTTAAAAGATATGGTTTATAAATTGCTTTGAGCGAACAATTGTAACAATGATGCTAATCATGTGAAGTATGTAATGTAGCTAAAATTCATAATCATATTTGACAACATTTTTCAATACAAAAGTGCTATCGAAGCATACATCGCAATAGTCATCAGTTTACATGCAAATAGTTGTTTTTAGTAAGCAGTGTAAAAAGAATAGAAGTGCACTAAGAAAGTGGAGTGGCTACAATATCATATGTGCTTTGGGATGATAGACTTTACATGGGACTCCTCAGTAGGGAATCAATATTTTCTTGGTATTAAGGCTAATACTTCATGTTTGAGAATGAATAATGTATCAACGGATGGTCCCAGTACTGTTACAAGGTATTTTTATCATCTACAGATGAAAAGTAGAAAATGAAGACCGAGAGCACGAAACGATAATAAAAATTACTGTGATAGTTCTGTTTTTATATATGTGTTTACCTTCATCTAACGATAGCCCAAAAAATGAGCGACATTTAAGTAACGAAACGGCCTTCCAGTGCTTCCAGGTTTTCTACGGTGGTCTAGTTTCAGTTGGCTCATGAATTCAACTATTAAAATATACGTGTTTGATTGTTTCGTGATCTACTTATTTAAACTAATCTACTGTATTACATATATCCTTACAATAACAAAGTGAATGATGCAGTTGGGATAATATTTGAGATTAACCAGATATAGAGTAATGCTTTAATATTATAAGCTTCTACTAAAATCAATGGATAAAACTACATCACAAAATGATGTTCAATAAGTATGTTATTAACGAGAACACAGGTAGGGATAGCCCAATATTCTGTAACACAAAATTACTGCGTATCTTCATGAAATAAAAGAACCATACATAAAATACTTGATTTGCAGATATTCCATCAACTGTCTCAGACTTCATTGTTCCTTCATTGCCATAAAAGTTACTCTCCGTTCCCGTTCTCTTCGATTCCATCTCCCAACCTTATGCTGCCAGGAATTCCACCTCTGACTGGTGCTATATACTATTTATGTCGACATAAGTAGCATACACCACGAGTATGCTTAATAACAAGTGTTCATATATTTAACGTTTACATAATTTCACTAAAGGAATGAGATATAATTGCTGGTATAAGCATTTCTGAATATTATCAGAGATGATTATCATTGGACTGTGTGAACTGTTAGGTATGCAGAGGAATATGCCAATAATTATCGTGTTAAGTCGAATGGTGTCCTTGAACGTTAAATGGACATTTCTCATTGGTCGATGTTTGTTTCACTTGTTAAATATTGTGTAAATGTTGTTTTCTATTTTATGGTACGATGTGGTTTGTTTGGTTAGTATATAAATAGAGTATGTCTGAAATACAATGATTCATAACTCAGAAGCTGTGACTTGTGTTCTGGACTCAACTGGCTGGGCTAGACAGGGAAGCGGGACCAATCGGGACTCTAGGTCGTCCATACGTGTTTTCCGTGTTACTGTGATCGATCGATATAAATGCTGCTTATCAAAACCTGCAGTCTCACACGTTACAACATGAACGATCAATGTAATTCTATTCGACAGATGGATTGTGGCAAATTTCAACAATCCCTATACTGATGATTCTTTAATATGGAAAAAAAACATATTAATTTGACGTTGTTATGTTGGGGAATATTTTTTAATTAATGACTTCATATTTTTTTATGTTTTTCAGACATATTTTATCTAGATGACGGAAGAAATTAAAGATTCTACTGACGAAAAAGAGCAATCACAACCTGTTATATCAATTAGTAGAGAAGCGATGGAAAAAGCGATCGCTGCCTTCCGTAAGTTTGTATGACAATTATTTATGCAGAAGTTAAAGAGATGAGAGTGTTATAAACAGATTATTTGGAGAAATGTTTACCAATCCATTAGTAGTTTAAATCAACAATGGAAATCATGAAACACTGGACACCTGTTTCGTCATAGTATGGGACCCTTTAGTGATGAACATTCACGATCTCACCCAAACGGATAGAACCCAAGATCATCGACTTCGCCCGAGAAAGTTCAACCTTTATTCAGTCAGTCAGTAACAACGTAAAACTTCGTAAGTACGTACATCAGTTCGAGTTGCCACACCACATTAGCACAGAGATGCAGTTGTCGATTCAAATCCCGTAGTGGTAGAGGCGGTAAGAGTATAAGCAGTAATCAGGAAGATTAGGGTTTGAAGATGTTATTCAAGGAGTATAATCCGGTGAAATAAATTTGGAAAGAGAGCAAGTGAAGGGACATGAAAAAATCAGAAGATTAGAATTTGGGAGAACACAAAGAGTGGATGTACCTGTGCCATTGCAAACCATTTTGAGCCATGTCATTCGAGGTCTCTAACCATCGGTTGCTATCATCTCTCGGATCCCAACCAGGTAGTCGACACCTACCAACAAGGCTCAGTCCACTTGTCAGTGACTTCATGGACTTGTGCCATGTTTTGGTCTGGCCGCCCCTACCTTTCTTCCAACCTACTCCTATACCACTGAACATCGCACGTCGAGGCAGTTGGTGGTTGGGCATACGTAACATATATCCCAGCCATCTCAACTGATGAAGTTTCATTACTTCATCAATTGATTTGCCATCCTTACCTAGTACCCGTTTCCTAACAACTGTGTTACTTACTCGATGGTCCCATGATATATGAGCAATGTTTCGAAGACACCTATGATCAAATACTAGTAACCTACGAATATCCTCTACTCTTACCGGCCATGTTTCACTGCCATAAAGTAGGACGGAACGAACTGCTGTGCAGTAAACACGTCCTTTGGTTGATAGACGGATATCTCGCCTACGCCATAAACGACGCAAGTTGGCAAAAGCTAGTCGAGCCTTCTGTATCCGTGCTGAGATTTCGTCACACACCAGACCACAAGGGCTGATGAGACTTCCAAGATAAGTGAAGCGATCGACACGCTCAATTACTTCACTCCCTATCATTAGTTCGGGTGTCAATGCAACCCAATCCTGAAGCAACATTTTCATTTCGAGGGAGAGAATCGCATCCCGAACATGCCTGCATTGTTGCTTAGAGTGGTCACAAGACTCTGCATTTTGTCAGCGTCTTCACCAAATAAAACTATGTCATCAGCATATTCTAAGTCAACAAGTGAACCTCCCGATAGAAGTTCAACCCCTGTAAATTTAGATGAGGAAAGTGTCATCTCTTAAAGCACGTCAACGACAAAGTTAAGCAAGAATGGAGAGAGTGGACAGCCCTGACGAACACCACTTGAGGTAATCAATTCTGATGACAGTTCGCCATAAGCCCTCACTCGACCAGTTGTGTTCGAGTAGAAAGCCTTTATAAGGTTGATGTATTTATTTGGTACTCCTTTCAGTGACAAACGCTGCCATAGAACCTCACGATCAACAGAGTCAAATGCCGCCTTAAGGTCGAGAAATACTACCGTTGTGGGGCGTCTGAATGTATGTCTATGTTCTAGGACCTGACGTAGTGTGAATATCTGATCTATACAACCACGTCCAGGTCGAAAACCAACCTGATTTTCTCGAGTCTGTTCTTCACGAGCTTTGGTTAGGCGTCGAAGTATTATTGAAGCTAATATTTTAGACACTACATTTGTCAAACTGATTCTTCTGTGATTGTCACGAGAGGACTTTTGTCCTTTCTTATAGACTGGCACAATCAGTGATTGAGACCAGTCAGATGGGATTACGTCCAGTTCCCAAATTCTACCTAAGTCCTCAGCTAATCTCACTGCTAATACTGGACTACTATCCTTAAAGATCCCAGGAGTAAACCTGTCAGGGTCTGCTGCTCTCCCTCGCTTCAGATTTCCTATAGGTTTTTCAACTTCGTGAAGAGTCGGAGGACCTACATTAATTTGCCATTCAGTTTGGCTGGAGATCGTGAGAAACCGAAGTGTGGCTCAACCTATAGACCACTGATCGATCGTGGATCGCACTGCTAAGAATTCCCGCACTAGAACGGAATAGCTTTCTAGTGCTTTCTGGTATTCAATGATGGTCTAGATAAGATTGTTTTGTGATTTAAACTATTGGAAATTCTCCAATCCCCACGAAACCCTGCACTGATGATAATCCAATGATGTTATTCAACTGTTAAGATTACTACAATGGCCACAAATTCCCATTCTGATAATAATATTTTATTAAAATGATTGTGTCATAACTATGGTTTAACAATGAAATAGAATAACGTAGAAAAAGACTAAGTGAAGAAATGTTTCATTTTTATTTCTTACAACTCTATACAAATATATATGCTTAAATATAACAAGTTAAAATTGATATCAACCGATTAATGCTGTATTACGTAATAATATTACAATTTCAAAGATATTTATGTAAATAAATACGAATTCATTACATGGTAATCAAAAGACTAGTTGTATGCAATGATTAATATTCAGAGATCATAATGAACAAATGAATGAATCAAAATATCTAGGTAAATAATCGACAAAGTACACGACACCTAGTATGAGAACTGGCGGAATATTTCGTTACGAGGTCAAACATCAATCATAGTGACGTCAAAATGAAGAGAATCGTTTGACAATCACGTATATGCACAACGACAAGAGAAAATCTGAAGACTCTGGAAATAAAAAATGGCAGGGGTATACTACAAAAATATTATTTTATTCTCATAAGAATGTAATCATTTGTCACTCATTTCAGTATTAGCTATGTTGACAGCTAAGCTGAAGAGAAGGGTTGTACAAATCTCTTATGAAATTTATAGGTCTAGTTTATGAAGATCAATATCAATGGATCTATTAAACTGTTTTCTTTTATTTTGTCTAAGTGGAAACTCTCAATTTAATTAGTTAATACGATTGAACTATCGTAATATGATGAACTATTAAACATAATCACAAACGAGCATGGTAGTTAGTTATTTGAGGAAGCTATTCAAATATCAATATAAACAGTATAATTAAACCACACCGTTTTTTGTTGTTTTTTTATTTAAAGCACAAAGTAAACTTAACAGAACAACTACAAATGCATCTTTCCTCGGGATTCCACAACGCAATGTGTAAGTTACGAAGATAATATATTTTTATTAATATTGTAAGATAATTATTTCCTTAAAAACATTCTACAATATTGATGTGATTACTTCCCACCTGTTTATATTCATATAAATAGGATAAGAATTATATTCTAAGGTATAGCTAATATCAATAAGGGGATTTGTGGGAATTGTAGTAATTTTAACTGTTAAATTCACCAGTCGATTAAACTTAGGTCACCATTGAAAACCTGGAAGCACTGGACGATCGTTTCGTTATAGTATGAAATTTCTCAGTAGTAGGCACTCACGACCACACAACCGAGAAACGAACTCAAGAACCTCGGTCTCGCACGCGAACGCTTAACTTCTAGTCCACTGAGCCGGCATCCAACAGTGTTAATGTATAACTTCAATCGATACATGATTTTGTGCAACTATTCATCTATTTTCTGAGGTGGATAACTGTCTCACGCCCGATGCGACTTGGACTCCACCAGTCACGGCTTTCCACTAGAACTCCAGGAAATTAATCTTGAAGCTGGTTAATAGTAAGAACACAATTATTATCATTGTGAGGATTTGTAGAGATTGTAGTATTTTTAACAATTGAATTCATTGTTTGATATCAACTCAGTGGTCTAAGGGTTAAGCGTTCACGGGGGCCTTATGTTTGTATTTTGGTTGTACGGTAGTGGGTGCACACTGCTTAGGAGTCCCATACTGAGATGAGAAGACCGTCCATTGCTTTTAGGTTGTCTATTTTTTATCGTTCCGTGGTGTCAATAAAATTCAACAATTCACATAACCCCATAATGATGACAGTAAATTGTTAGAAATAAACCTACTTATTTTTCGGACATAGTATTTTGAGTTGAGAATGTAGAGAAGTTGGCACGTAAGATTTAGTTAAACGCTTTATTTATTATGTCAAGCATCAAATCACCAACCACATTACGGCCGAATCAAAGTATCCACCACTCAGTCTTTGGGTATGATTTATACCATAATTTGCAAGTGTTTTTCGTTTTCAAATTTTATTATTCAGAACGGAATTGGTCAGTCTCTGTTAGCACTGGGATATATATATATATTCACTGTCAGTCTTTTCATTCGAGTAGCCGTTTGGGTCGTTACTAGGAATATTACGTATCAATATCGTATCTCAAGCACCACAAGTCACAACTGAAAATTTTTGCATAAGTAGACTGTGTAGATGACTTATACTATTTATCTCACTAAGACAGAATATTTCATTAATGAAGAGTATGTTGAAGAGTTGATCAAATAAATTCATTAGTTGCATTTCTGGGATTTAAAGAAATTGCCAGGATGATATATTTACTGATTCCCGATGAATCAAGCTGATAAGTGAAATCATTTTTCCAAATAGTCAGACAGAATACCCTAAACGATAAGTTATATAGTCGGAACAGTATTTTTTTCTCTGAATAATCCTTATTTCCTCCTAAAAGATTACATTTTATACTTGAAATCGCCGAATAAACCATAATTTTATGTTCGTTTATAGAAATCCTACAAAACTAAGGTGACTAGGGTATGCACCACGTATGTCCCACCACCAGTTATCTCGACGCGCGTTGACGGCTGATATAGGAGTAGGGTATAAAACAGCCAAGGGAGATCGAAACGAAATGTGGCATCAGCCTACAAAACTATTAACAGTTGGAATAAGCCATATAGGAAAGTACAGACTAACTGTTTGGACTCCATGAAATCAGAGTAACCAGTGGTCACTTAATTTGGATGACGTTCAGCAAACTTTTTGACAATAGTACAGATTCACTAATTCTTTGTTTTTGTTTAGATCCTAATTTTCTTAATTATTGCAAAGAAGCTGTCCATTCTACGAAATCACATTTTCTCGATTAGGATCTCTTATGCATAATCTTTTCTGTACTGTTACTACATAGCTACTACACCTTCAGCCAAATGCACATAGGTGCTAGGTACTACGTTACCGTATAATTGATGTATTGAAGCTGTAAATTTTAAAATGAATATATTTTCACTAGTAAAAGAATCCAGAAAGAATCTTTTATCTTATTTACAACTCATCATGTTCATATCCTTGCTTCTCAGCGTTGATACTCACACTAAGACTGAAACACAGTTCATTTCACTTCAAATGCCTACGTGTTATCCGACGATATACCAAGTTTAGACAATCACTATCTTATCCAGCCGGTACCGTTTTATCTTTAGGATATATTTTACTTCTTAATTGAAATCGCTGAATATAATTTCATGAATACAAATCTAACTCAAATATTTTTATTTATTTTCTTTTTTCTGTACAATATTGCATTATATAATAGACGATCAGATTCAGATATCAGTGTGTCGGTTGTAGAAAAACTACGTACACTTCGTACAAAATTTACAGAACGTACAGAATTGATAAAGCCAAAGAAATTGAGAAAGTCGAAATTAGTGAAAATGAATCTGATGAAAACGAAACTTGTAAGTTCAGAATTAGGAGATTTCAGTAATTTTATAATGATGAAATATTGATACAATGTAGCATCTTCCAGATGGACTTGTTCACAATTGTAGGATAGTTCTTGCTCTCTTTAAAATAATTGTATTCTGTATTTCAAGGTCATATGTACTCATTTAAAGTTTTTTTTATTGGTTACTTAAACTGACTATTTGAGAGAGATAATTACACTTACTTGGATTTGGATGTTATTTAAACTGCATGGAATGCAGTTCATAGATATTGACCACTTGAAACATACTTTACAACCAGGTGAAAATTTTATTTCTAATGAGATTAAAATAGCAAATAATTTTTCATATGATTTTGTAAGTGTTCGTAGTTTCCTGTTACTGATGTCGAAGAATACAACATATCACCATTTAATGATGTATGTACATCTCAATAGGTTTGCCAAGATATTGCTACATTAGTAGCGAACTCCAGTAAAGTTAGGATGAAGGTAAATGCAGATGATGAATCCTAAATAAAATGAGACCTCCAATCTGGATTTCAATTTCTGTTAAGACACAACTTTACTGAAACTCTACAGGGATTCTACATTATCAATATTTCGGAGTTCCAGCTAATTGTACATATACCTCTGTAACTCTACAGACTATTCTCTAAGGATTTATTTTGGTAAGAAGAAATATATGCTCATTGGTGGTAAAATTTGAGTGCAGTTCCTGACGTTTTGTTGAAGTGCTATGATCAGTAGAATTCAGTGAGGTGAAATGTGAGAAAGCTCTCTACGACAGTTGATGAAAGTTGAATAATATCTCCAAACAGGCGGTCAGATAATTAAGGAACTTCAAAAAGAATTTCTCACCACGACGTTTTGGGTTCGTTCACTGTAGAGATTTCAGTAAATACTGTTGAGAGGTTCGTCGTTGAGATAAATCAGAAATTCAGTGCTACTCAGTCTCCAATAGTTGTCTAGCAATAGTCAATTCATGAAGCAAACTACAAAATGAATTTAACGCATTTGCATATTACAATAAGATTATTAACGTATAGTTGACACACTTCAATCAAAACAGCTTGATTATCCTTAATTTGGGTGTGAGGATTTTGTATAAGTCCTAACACTAATTGATCTTAGATAATTGGTGACCAGTCAAGTTCAACCAAGTCAGATTTGTAACAGCTCCCCACTAATTTCCCTAAAAGTGCGGTTCACAATACCTCGAACTAATTGATGTGATAAAATGTAAACCATTTGATACACTATCGGTAGTTTGGAGGTAAAGTTCAATACGGCAGATCTTAGGTTTTATCAATGGTAGGGTCATCGATGCACACTGATGGACAGTTCAATACTATGAGGGAACTGCTGTCCAATACATCTTGGTTCTCAATGACTGTTTTACTAAGTTTAGTTCATCATATAAATTATCCAGTAATATTGAGTTTATTGATTCAGTAACTTTTCTTGTGACAAATCCTGTTATTACTCAATCCTAACTTTCTTTCAATATTATTTTCGCTTTTAAAATCAATAATAATGTGACTAATTATAGGTACAGATCCAACAAAATCCGATGAAAATGAACTTCAGTTAGGTGGAGAATTTAAAACAACAGAAATTCAAAAAGAAAAATCAATTGGATGGTGGAAAAAATATCCTAATCGAAAATTAATAATACGTCAACCTCTATGTTTAACGTGTTTACCATCAAGCAGAAAATATTTTATATCAAAACCTAATTTGCCATGTTTCAGTATACAAAATCCAGAGGATAATGAGAAGCAACGACAAGATGAAGTTAAAGTGATTAAAGCATCAGAACAAGAAACAGAACAGCGTATGTGTATATATTAATTACATACTAATATATATATTTAATAAACACAGAATTAGATTCATTTGTTTGCACAAGTCAATGGCCACGTAGACTCAGTAGATAAGTAGATAATATGACGGAATTTGAAATGAACGTTACTAAGTTTCGAGTCTCGAAGTGAACAACTATAGGAAGCAGACAAATCCGAATGACGAGGTCTACATTAGAAGAAACGCGTGTCCTGGACCCTATTGCTAGCCACTATCTGTCTCTGCTTACAAAATAAGATTGTCATATATATATATATGAATTAATAATGTATAGACTGCTATTAGATTATCATCTGCTAAATAGTCGGTTCAAAATTCATCACTTTGAAAAAATGAGTTGTAATGAATGGATATATAACTTTCCACTTTTATGAAACAATTTAGAACAACAGTTGCTTATGTTGAATTTCGCATTCTTTTGGGTGGTTGATTTCGTTGAGAATCTTTCAATATATATATATTTGAAAATAACACCAATATAAACTCTTTAGAAGTGTGAAGCATTAAAAGTTCTCACTGGACAGCTGACAATTGATTTTTTCAACATAACATATCAGTTTTCAGCAATAAGGACAAAAAGCCAAATTTCTTATACAAATTTCTGCAAAGATCCACTCATCTCTTCTATTTATCAAGCAAAACTGGCACTGCTAAATATTGTTGTAGAGGATGCGGGCAAAAAATAAGTTTTTAAATATAAACAATTTGATATCAGTTTTCATCAAATAAAATTAACAGTTTAGATAAGTCAGTATCACAATCTTCATTCCGTATGTTATATTATTGTTCAATATCAACATTTAACCTGCTATAAGATAGCTGAAAAAAAGTTAAAATATTTCAGAATGAGAGATTAGAAAACATTCTGGAGATCTTGGTTTATACTGTTTGAACTAATCTTAGAATATCAATTTCACATTTCAAACAAGGGTCTAGTGCTCGAACCCTATATCGAATGTATTGTCTGTTGTATTATGTTCCAATCGTATTCACATTCAAGTTCTGAAAAGCTGAATAGGAGTCTTATAGCTAACGCATTAGTACATATCTGAGGCAGTTACTTGCTGTTGTGACTATTCTATTATGAAGAAGGTCACAATTCTTTGAATTACAAGTTGTGTTGTGCATCATATAATGTCAATTTGGAATTATGGTTTATGTTATCAGTAATGTTTACACTGAATGATTACTAAATAAAAGCCAGTGTCGTATTTGTCTGATTTCCAGATTTAATAGAATTTGTTAGACTAGATTGTAATATTATTACTAGTCTAGTTGGCTCTATACAGAGTGCATTGTGTTTGAGTATTAGATGGTTAGCAGTAGACATATATATGATGACTTAACATGCAGTGGAAATCATGTCTAGTTCGTAATATTAAGTACGTTATAATACGCATATTTAAAAATCGTCCATATTTCATCAACGGTACCGGTTAACATAGTTGTTACTTAATTACTTACTTACTTACGCCTGCAACCTCTTGTTGAGGAGCATAGGCCGTCCATCAGCATTCTCCATCCAACCATGCCCTGGAAAATCCTTTCCATTTATTTCCAACTTCCATTGATCCTTTTGATGTCTGTTTCCAGTTCTCGACGCAACGTGTTCTTTGGTCTTTCTCTTTTCCGTTTCCCTTCAGGACTCTAAGTTGGCGGAATAGTTATTTATGTTGACTTAAAAAAAGCATGTACCATATTTACATCTTTACTTATATTTAACAGAGCTAGTCAATAATTTAATAAAGTCTAGGAAACATCAATTATATTACGGATTTCCTTATTTGTTACGTGCGAAGAACAAACGTTATCAACGCTATAATTTACTGAAAACTACTTCAATCAATCACGGTAATTTTTTCATCACTATAACTCTTTTGTCTAATGGTTACTAGTGACTGACTTCAAATTGAATTTCCATCATTCTAAGAAGGATTTGCAACTGGTAGAATTCATTCGTGTGTTGAATAAGTTAGTCACCCACCAATGATTTGAATGATATTATTCTATATTGCAGGTTGATTGGTTCAAATGTCAAACGCTTATCAAATGGCCTGAAGACACTGAGTATGATCTCTGATTTCCACTACCTAGGAGTTCCACTCTAAAATGAAATGCTTTTCAGTAGCTTCTCAATGAATATAACTCTAATATAAAATTAACTGCAATTTATCTCCCTAAAACCTTCAAATAACCATTGACCATATATTTAAAACAGTTTTATACAATTATAACTCGAAGATATATTAATGTGGAAATTTCATAAAAATGCATGTTACTTCTTACAAATTAATACAACATAAAAGATATACTTTTAGAATAATAATCACTATGTTGAGGTATGATGGTGGTTCGAGGTAGTCGACATGAAACCATGGACCTACGTTTCGTGCTACTTGGCACTCGTCAGCAAGGTGTACTTGTAATCTTGAGGGAATTGATGCTCACTGACGGATTCGATCCCGTATCACCCAGCTTCACATTCAGAGACGTTACCGATAAGCTACCCAGGCCACGACTGAACTCCTGTAGGACTGAGATGTATTTACAATTGGTTGATCACTTGGTGGTGGCCATCGTCATAAATGTCAGTCCTTCTTAGTGCAGATAGAATCCTATCGACCAAGTTGCGATGTGGCCACTAGTCTAGGTGACTTGACACTGCAGTCAGTCGCGGCCTGGATAGCCCAGTGGTAACGTCTCTGAATATGAAGCTGGGTGATACGGGATCGAATCCGTCAGTGAGCATCAATTCCCTCAAGATTACAAGTACACCTTACTGACGAGTGCCAAGTAGCACGAAACGTAGGTCCATGGTTTCATGTCGACTACCTCCAACCACCATCTAATCTCAACATAGTGAGCTTTATGTCGAGTCACCTAGACTGGTGACCACATTGTAAATTGGTCGACAGGATTCGGTCTTCACTTAGAGGGACCTAACATACATGACATTGATCACCATCCAGTGATCAATCAATTGTAAATAGTCACTATCTTTTCAAATTGTCTGATTTTTATTACTTGATAGCTATAATAAATTCGTTGAAACGAGATCCCTTTGCTGAACTTCGGATTTTTAATTTTCAATGTTTAAATGAGAATTATCTGTCAATTGAAGAAAGTGAAATACCTAGAGATAGAAGATTGCGAAGATTGGAGAGAAGAGAACGAAAACAAAGAATAATTAATATAGGAATGAAGGAATAGTAAAGTCTGAGACATTTTATAAATAAACTATTTACTATATGATTCGCAGATTGAACTAAGATATTCTATATTCTCGTTCACCATACCATTGTAAGGTATTTAAATGATCGGATTTTTACAAACCTTATTACTTACATTATAATAAGTACCTTATTCTGATATGTCATTATTGAAAAGAAAGATTATTGATTAATTTTTTGATTTATTTTATAGCTGAAATTATTGGACAAGAATGTGTCAAACTTAAAGAAATATCAATTCCTTTACCAGCATGGTTAGTAGGATTAAAAGATGTATTTAGTGCAACTATATCACCGTATAGTAAGTTCAAAATATTATCAGTTTAAGGGTTGTGGAAATTGCTATGTTTTTGATTGAGATCATGAACCGATTGATGTTAGACCACCATTGGAAACCTGGAAGCACTGGACGGCCGTTTCGTCCTACTGCGGAACTCCTCAGCAGTGCGCACCCACGATCCCGCTCGTGGGACTCGAGCCCAGGGCTTCCAGTCTCGCGCGCGAACGCTTAACCTACTGGACCACTGAGCCGGAGTCGTATGGTGTTAATGTGCTTACTAGTGACTAGCTTCGTGAGAAAATTCTCGGAGTTCTGGTGAGAAGCCGTGACCAGTGGAGCTAATCCGTGTCGGGTAGAAACAGGTGTCTACCTCAGTACAATGGAAGATGGTCTTGCAATTTCGTGGGTTGGTTGATGTTAGACATTAATACCACGGAATATAGGCTCAGTGGTCCAGTAGGTTAAGCGTTTGCGCGCGAGACAGAAGGCCCTGGGTTCGAATCCCGCGAGTGGGGTCATGGGTGCGCACTGTTGAGGAGTCCCACAATAGGATGAAACGGCCGTTCAGCGCTCCCAGGTTTTCAGTGGTGGTCTAACATCATTCGGTTCATGATCTCAATCGAGATATTTTACTTTCTATACTTTAGGAGTACATGTTTTCTAATGTCGCTTGATATGTTTACAAATTTTAAAGTTTTGGTGATAAGATTTGTTTCCAGAAAGTTTTAATTCAAAATATCAACTAATATTATTTGAGTATTGACCGTTGTAAAACTTTTGGACTGAGATGTATTTACGACTGATTCATCACTAGGTGGTGATCAATGTCATATAGGTCAGATCCCTTTAGGTGTAGATCATATAAACTAATAAGTGAAGAAAATTCACCTGAGTTTTATGGATTCAGTTCTTTCAGTTCTTTACATCTATTAATGATAAATGATCGTTAAGGTAGTGGTTGGAAGTAGTCGACGGTAAATATAGTTAAGTCTAGGTTTCATACTATTTGATACTACTCGTCAACAAGGTGTATCTGTAATGTTAGGGGAACTAAAGTTTCCTGATAAATTTGATCTCGTGTCACCTATCTTCATGGATGGAGACTTTACCGTTGGGCTGTATTATCATCAATTGACTTGACATAAATGACATCGGTCACTACTCAGTAATAAATTAATATCAGAAGGGGTTTTGTGGAGATCTTAGAAATTTCACTGATTGAAATCATCTATTAATTGAAGCTAGAGCACCATGGAAAACCTGTAAGCACTGGACAGCCATTTCGTCCTAGTATGGGACTCAGCAGTGCGCACCCACGACCCCGTACCCCGCGAGATTCGGACCCGGGACCTATCGGTCTCGCGCTAGGCACTTAACCAACTAGACCACTGAACCGGCATCCAACGGTGTTAATGTCTAACTTCAACCCATCCACAAAGTTGCGCCACCGTACACCATTGTCTTCAGTGAGTTGATATCCACCCAGTGCTTCCAGGTTTTCCATGGGGGTCTAGCTTCAACTGGCTCATGATTTCAATCAGTGAAATAAATTAATAGTAAGGACAAATCATCCTTATATAGTACCTCTCTACTCTGAATATCATTCGAAAATTCTCCAAAATCTAATTATACATGAATAAAATGCATTATATAATTGCTTGGTGAATAACTGATCAATTTTGTGTTGGGAATACTTGATAATTCCTTGAGAATTATTTAAAAACCAAGAAAATAGTGAAGAGGCTTTAACTAGTCAGAGTTCTTTAGTAAATTTTAGAAGAATTTTAGACAATAACGGATTATGTCTTCACTGACTTGATTGCATAAATATTGATCGTTTACCGTAGACTACTGTGGTATGTCGCAAACATATAATAATTTTCTATTTTACAAAATATTAGTTGTTACAAGTATCATATAATTTAACTAAAGAAGTGAACTTAGTTATACAGAAATTAAAACTCAAGAGCCACTGGGCAGTCATTCCATTCGAGTATGCAACTCTGTACCTGTACATACTCACGATTCTTCTAGAGATCTAACTATAAACCCCCAAGTCTTGTTGCGAAGGCTTAATGTTCAGACCAGTAAGTCAGCATCAAAAGATTTACATTACTAACTTTCGTCAATTCATTAAACTCGGTAACCGTCTTCCAGTACCATTGGTGAGTAACTATCTCATGTTCAATATGGCTGAACTCTACTGATCTCAGCGTCTCACTAGAACTCTGATAACTGCCTTTAGAAATCAGAGACAAGTATGTACATGACTATCATTAGCATAAGAAGTTTCTAGAGATTATTGTATTTCACATATATCCCAGTCTAATACTTCAAATGCGGCAATTAATTAATACTTCAATAAATAAACTTTTCAACGATTTCTTTCTTAAAAGCTGTATAATGATATATTTATATGAAATAATTAAATTAATAAACAGTGTTTGGTATCAATGTCAGAGGGGGATTTTGTGGATATATAGTAATTTCAATAGTTAGAAGCACCGGACGGCCAGTTTGTCCTATTGTGAGACTCCTTAACAATGCGCATCCACGATCCCACCCCGCGAGTTTCAAAACCATGACCTATAGGATTAGTTGAAGTTAGACAATAACACCGGTGGATGCCTGTTGGCTCAGTAGTCCAGAGAATAGGTGTTCACGCGCGAGGCCGAAGGTTTCGAGTTCGAGCCCCGCGTGGGGGGTCGTGGATGCGCACTGCTGAGGAGTCGCACGATAAGACAAGCCAGTTTTCCAGGTTTTCCACGGTAGTCTAGCTTCATGATCTCAACTATTGAAAATGTTTGGTGTGTTGATATAGATAATATAGATAATAATAAGTGGAATTCATTCACTAATTGACTGTAGTGCATTCACTTCGTATTTTTTTGATTGATTTATTAATGTTAAGTAATTTTCATTTCTGAAATTGGTTTTTTTGTACTACTTAAATAGTATCTTTGAATTTCACTCATAATTATTTTTGTTTTCTGTTGTTTTCTTCTCTCTTTCTATATATAGGCAATATTTATCTTCTATGGTTAGGTTTCTTATTGATAGCAGTTTTATACAATTATATTACTATACCATTTCGTGAAGCATTCAATATATACGATGATGAAGATAACATGACATTATGGTATATATTGAATTCATTGATGGATACACTTTATTTATTGGATATATTATTATTAAAACCACGTATAGAATTTCTTGATCAAGGTATTACAAAAGTAGGTTATGTGATATATAGGGTTTTTTTTACATTGTGATTCTCTTTATTGTAGACGGATTTTAAATCATGTGCTTTACATTATTTTAAAAGTTTACAATTTAAGGTAAGTTCAATGATTTTGATTTCGATAATAACAATGGTGACTTTTTTTTAAATGTACAGATTAATGATTAAATGTTTTGGTATAGGATTTTCAACATTTGAAAATCTTGACAATAATCGTCCCAGCAAAGTCTTCAGTTCATCCTGTTGGTGAGACTATAATTTATACAATCAATCAAGTTCATCCTCATACCCTATTCCTTTGTTATTATACGTAAATTATATTCCGCTGACTTTCATATTTTCGGAGATTGGATCAGTAAAAATAGGTGCTATCCAACAGAGGGTTCCTTATTAAGCTTATATCAATCCCCTTCACTCTAGAATATTAACTTTTTATTATTATTATCATGGATCGGTTTTAGTTAAAAGTTAATCGAAAACTAGGAAGTACTAGAGCGTTAGTTTATCAATGTATGTAACTATTTGGTATTTCTGTCCAGTGTTTCTTGGCTTTTAGCACTTGTTCAACTAAAATCAGTATGTGACTTATATCATAAATTACTCTACAAACCTACGATAGAAATAATACGTAAATTTATTGTAATATTTGCACAGATAAAAAGTAGGTGGCCAAGCTCTTTAGGAAGATCATGTTGCTTTATAGGTAAAATTCTTAGCAAAATTTACTCGTTCTGTAAATTTTCGTGGATAAGTAAGTAGTTCCCAATTATTTCATTTCTGTTTGGTACTTCATGAGTGCCTAATCAAATTATCCAATATATCTTCAACTACTTATTAGTAATATAAAGATAAAGATGAAAAATTAGAGCTTTGAATAAAAAGTGATTTAATAACAAATAGATTCGAAAGTCAGTGCCATATAATCTCGATGTACTAGACGTAAATACAATATAATTCTACTAAGGCTAATTACAAATTATGCGAGCTATCCCATTGAGCACATTTTCTTGAAATTTTTTTACTTTTATCTTGCATTTAAACGAATAAATAATTCACATTCAATAAGTGATCGAATCCAATTAGCTTTGATTTTATCCTCTTAATTTAGATTGATGTCATTTCAATCATACCGTTGGATTTATTCTCCTTGTTTTATGAAAAAGATATGGCACGTTTTCGTGTTTTTCGTTTGGTCAAAGTAAGTTAATATTGATGATGTAAAACTGATATTGGATTAAATCAATAATTAAGTTGTGACCGATATTGTAAGATGATGGGATTCTATCGATTTAATATGAACTATGCTCACTTGGTGAATTCGGTACTCAGTGACAGAAACTTATGAGAAGCATTTCAGGTATACAGAAGGCTATACTTAATCCGACTAGCTGGATGGGTAACACGTACTTGAACAAAACAAGAGTAATAAGATTTTCAGAATAAAATGAATTCATAGTTCACTTTTATCTGCCTTAAACAGTCTAAAGTTACAAAGAATAGTATGGTTAAAAGCAGAGATTCAACATATTTTATATGATGTTTTGAAACAAATCATATGGACGAGAAAAGGACAAGAAATATGATGATAAACAGTGGATAATTTTAAAATGACCATGTAATAAGTGAATTTGCACCTTCGTAGGTATTTTACGGTGGTAAAAAGTGGTTTGCCCTCCATGTACATGAGTCAGCTTGGGGGCTTGTCATGGCGTTAATGTCCAAAAGTTATGTAAAACTATCCTTCGTTGTTTGTAGATTATATCCAACCTAAGTTTTTTAACCCATTAAGTGTCTAGTAATCCCATTTTTGAACACTCAACTTCTCTTCAAAGATGGATATATTCAAAACAATTTAATAGATGTTCTTTTCTCAGTTCATTCCATACACTTACTTTAAGCAATATATATTGAAAACAACTAAATGGAATAGAAGCTCCTTGTTGATGACTATTGTATTAATTTATTAATTCTACTTGGAGTCTTATTTCCTTTTTTTGATGGAGTTTTGTTCTCTGAGATGGATGGTTTGGTCGTGAAGCTTTCATCGTTCTTCTGAACGACATAATCAGCACAAACTTCAGATTGAAGTAAAGTGCAGAAATTCGAACACTTCACTTCTATTTGAAGTCTGTGCTGATGATGTTCAGAAGAACGATGAAAGCTCCACGACCAAACCATCCAGCTCAGAGAACAAAACTCCATCAAAATCATTCACCTGAGCTACAAATCTTCTCCACCGTCTTATCTCCTTTAAATACGAGTCGAATAAAAAAAGTTTTTCCTCCATAGTTGGATGTTTGCGGTTTTCAGAATGACAATTTTTTGTAATTCTTAATAATTTCTTCTCTATATCCATTTTCAATGTATGTCAACTCTTTTATTGTATTGCTTGATAACAACTTCTTAACTACTTTACAGAAAGTTTTGATTACTCATCGATTGTAGCTAACAAGACAAAGACTACCATGCTTTAAGTAGTTATAACTGTAACATTGAGTGATGCCAGTTAAAATCTATCAAGAAAAATCATTTTATTCAATCCAGCAAGTACATACTACTAATATGCGTCAATCAATAAACGAACTAGGTTTAAAGTTTTCTCCCTATTAGTTACAAACATTTCACACCAAATATGTTGTTTTGTTAACGAAAGCGATACATAACCAAGTGGTTTTTAACAAAATCAGCATTGCACGTAGCTTTTCGAACCGAACTGTTTTAAACAGAAGAAAAATTGACTGATTATTTAGCAATTTTTCTTGATTTACGACCTACTCAAGTGATAAAAATGACCTAAATTTCAGAAAGTTGCTTTAGACTAGTACCATTATATATATCTTCATATAATAATTACAAACAGACGTGATATTTTCCTTCAATGCTGTTCAAACAATTAGCATGAATGTTTCCTTGCTTGTCAGCAATAGTTATTCATTATATATGTATATATGCGTTTACGGTTTATGCCATGGTAATCCTGCCCACTCCATTCACACAATAGGGATATTTTTTACAAAGCGAGAGGATAAGAGACAAAAATCCAGACTTAAATGTGGGAAGTGGAAACAGAGAGTCCAATGAGAGGAGTTGAAAAACTCTGATTTTGAACCACCGTCTATCATTGAACAGTAGCTTTTGACGATGTTACACTGCCTTGTGGACTGAACCTTTGAACTAGAGGCTTGTGGAGTAGCCTCTTGGCTCCTGAACCGTATCCCAGACGACGAAATTTTATTTTGTATAGAAGATTCTAATTTTAGTGATCGGTTGTATTATATTTTATGTGAACTAAATAAAAATATTATGCATAGAAGTAAATTCTTCAAAAATTTATTTTCCTACCAAGATAAATGCATTTTGGGAAGCTTTCGAAAAATTAGATCAGCGTTTAAATGCTGGTTATGCAGTACGACTTGCACGAACTATCATATACATGATTTATATTATACATTTAGAGACTTGTGGTTATTATGCATTTAATCGATGGCAAGGTCTAGGCGAAACATCATGGACAATTCAACCAGGTCCAATTTCACCGTAAGTTTATTTTAAATTAAAAAGTTTTCCATATATGACTAATGATAATAATAATACTCAGTACTATATGCTTGATGATGGAAAAAATTCTCAGTATAAAATGTGCAACAAAAGAGTAAATTCATACATTATGTTCATTCAAGGCTATAGTCATATACAACTGTAATGTAGCCCGGCAAACGTGGAGAAAAATGCAAATATGTGTTAATAATTATAACTTGAAAAGTAATTAAAACCATACTCTGGTATTTAGCACTCATCCATTAAATGAACGAAAAAAAGCATCGAAAATGTCGGATAGGATGTACGAAGTTAACACTGTAAACAGTGATGGTGACCTAAGTCTTCAGTTAACTGGCAAAAATCCTAGGAAAATACATACTTGAACGTGTTTTCTTACATTGGTTATCTGTCAATTATCGTCACCCGTTATATATTTCGACCAGTTTTACGATATTTTAATTGCACGCAAAAATTAAAGAATGATTCCCTAGCTAACTGTCTTTGTATATCTAGAAAATAGGATGGACCAGAGGTTTGAACAGGCCTTTATGTCATAATTGTTTTATCATAAGTATTATTTAAAAAATTATTTGAAACAAAAAGACTGAGGTTATTTTCGACACTTTCCATGTCTAACAACCGTGTATTATCCAATACTTTCAGTTATTTTTCTATTCATTTAGTGGGGAAGTACTGCATATAAGTGCGATGTTCACGGATAACCTCATCTCAATCACCTTAAGCTATCGGGAAATATTTTCTGTGAACACTTTATAGTAGCATATCCTAATATGGCAGATTAGAAAAAAAGTAAATAAAGTTGAAGTTTGTCCTTGAAATAAAATCCGGTAGGATTATAATTTATGGACGACCTTTGAGTGATACTAAATTCACTCTGAGAATGTCCACCTACTAACTAGGACAAAATGAAGGTTATAAATCTGTGTGAGGAATTAGAATCATGATTTACAGTTGCTGATTATGTTTATGAATTAGATTTAGGGTTTTCATCACGAACTGACATCAATTATAATGCCAAAACTTTATTTATCCGAATGAATGAATGAATTTTGCGCCAAAATCCTATACCTGTTGTCTTATACGTGAATGGTTCGTTCATAAATTATAGTCCTCTTATAATTAGTGTAGTATTGAATCACCAAATGAATAGAAAAATATTAGATATTTTATTTATTTATTTTAACACATAAATATTGGTACAAGGAGGCACCAAATACATAAAACCTGAAGCAGGTGTTTCTCTTAGGGGGCCACACCCAGAGCCTTTGACTTGAAGGTCTGATCCACAAAGCAGTGGAGCATCGTAAGGAGATGCAGTCCCATGGTAGCCAGTGACCAACGATTGGTTCATACGCCATTTGTTCCCTCAGGATACTGGAGCCCATGTGCACCACTGGTTTGGAATCAAGGTTTTCCAACTCATCTAGGTAGGATCTCCATGTCCACCAACCCGGTTAAGGCGCTGGACATTGTCTTTTCGTCCTCTCAATTTCGTAAACAACAACCCCGCCACGAGAAGGTAGTGAGTAGGACTTCCCTGGCAGAGGCTATATATACGCGTGACCATGTGAGAACATTTCGAGAGGGAGAGTGAACTCTCCCCACTCTCAGCCGTACCAGGGCATGTGGGGGCATTTATATTAGATATTATAAATATATTATATACTGAAAGACAAATTCATGAACATGTATCCTATTGCCTTATATAAATATAAATTCTTGAAAATTAATGGGAAATTATAACAATCATCTATATTAAAACAGATTAGTCAAGGTCATAACATTATTCAATGACAAATGTTTATTATTATATTATTTATATTTAACTAGACTAGTTATCCCTATCTGTCTATCTATCTATCTATCTATCATATGACAACAAAATAAACAAAAACATAACTAAATGAAGTCACGTTATTTACGTGTTCACGTGTCCATTGATATGATTCTTGTTCCAGATAAATCGATCATTTGATAAATATTCATTTCTTTTATTTATAATTATGTAATCATCATTGTTGCTTTATCAATGTAATAGTACAAAATTTGTAAATAATAATAAAAAAGTGCTTTATTTTACAGATCAATAAAATGTGAATAATAGTAAATATTGAATAATGAATATTGAAAATTAATAAGAGTTAATTACAATTATTCATTAGTAGTTGAGATTATGAATCAATTGAAGCTAGATCACTATGGAAAACCTAGAAGCACTGAATGAGACTGAAAGCATTGAGGAGCTCCAGAAAACCTCTTCTCATACTTATTATTCATTAGTTACTTACTTGCTTTTTTACTTACTTACGCCTGTTACTCCCAATGAAGCATAGGCCGCCGACCAGCATTCTCCAACCCACTCTGTTCTGGGCCTTCTTTTCTAGTTCCATCCAATTCTTGTTCATTTTTCTCATGTTTATCTCAATTTCTCGGCGTAATGTGTCCTTTGGTCTTCCTCGTTTCCTTTGGCTTGTCTTGTGACGCAGTTGGGTGCTTTCCTCAATGTGTGTCCTATCCACTTCCAGCGCTTCTTCATTAGTTAATGTACTCTTAAATGGTTATTATTTATTTAGTTTTATTATATAGATATATTATGAGTGTATATATTTTCAATACTTCTTTTATCTAGTTTTAAGCATAAGTTTTCATACCCTTAATTAATTTCTTCTTTTTTAAAAATTTCTTCAAAGCAAATAAACAATATATATAAAGTGGTAATTATATGAAATGTAGTACACAAAATATATCAAATTCGTTGGAGACTAAGTTATAAGATAATATGTATTGAAAGATTTATTGAATGATGATATACTATTCAGTTTGAGTATAACTATCATGATGTTACCATTGAATTGAAACTACTATTGGAATATGACGATTGCTATTACATTGCCATTGCATACTTTAAACTTGTTATGATATGATCGTATAGAATAGTATCCGAATTATTTAAATCAAATAATAGGATTATATATATGTTAATTTAGATCTGAACAGGTATCGACAGAAACCCTATATATGGTAACCATTTTATTAATTGTTATTCATTCATTTGAATAGTTACCATCGAACAGAAAACGATATTAATCCCATTGGTTCTGTGTGTTACATTTCAATTTTATTAAAACTTTTCCTACAATATTTCTTCTGGTATGAATTATATCAACAATATAAATCCAACTATGTATCGTTATTTTAAAATGTACTACGAATTAAGATGAAGGGCGAGACTATAATTCATGGGCGACCTTTGAACGAATCTCAAGTGACCTTGGGAAATATTAGCCAGTCAGCAAACGGTTAGTACAGGGTAAAAATAAACTATATGAAACTGAAGAATTAGCGTGAATACACTTTTTTACATGGTTCAAAAACTTTTCATAGTTAGAAAGACGTCCAGAGGTTCTGAAATCGTAATACATATAGTACAGGAAATCATCCATATGGCTACAGAATAGTCGGCTTCTGGAGCCATGATAAAGTTTCAAAAACCTTCAGTCCTTACCACATGGCTTCAATATTGTTTGTGTGCACTCCGGTTGTTGAGTACACAAAACGCCACTTGTGGATAACGACACAATGCACATAACTAAGCCCATGTAGGAGTCTGTACGCTCTCCAATCATCCGTATATATTGTAGTACCTAGCTGCAGCCAGTGTTACTGGTGCTTTTATTATCCAGTTCGCAATAATTGTCGTAATTTGCCTTAGATAGGAATTATATATAGTGGTTTAATCACGAACCGACATCGGCTATAATGCCAGAAATCTATTTAGCCAAATGAATGAAAGGCTTTCGCGCCAAAATCCGAGATCTGTTATCTTATACCTGATTGATTCGTCCAAAAATTATAGTCTCGCCGTTTTATTTATTATAGCCGCTCAATTATCACGTTTTGTACAAAATTCCCTATGAACCGACCGTACGTTAGCATTAAGCACTGAATTTGGCGGCATGACTTTGAACCTTTCAAGCACTTCTGATTGGCTCGTCCATAAATTAGAGTCTCGCCAGATGAAGTGGTCTCATGTATTTTATTGGCTCATTTGTAAATGCATCTAATTCAAATTGTACTTATGCCTTAAATTGTTACCAAATATTTTCAATTTGTGATATAAGAAAATTTATTGCGAAATGTGCCAGATAAAAGATTTATGTCAAGCATACTAATTAGCAGATAAATGAACGGTGAAAGAGACAAATGAATGTATCTTGTGATATATGAATTAATCAAGAAATTGATTAGGAAATTAATTAATGACAGATTACACAACTAAATAAATAATGGTCAAGATAAGCGAACACTTACATATACGTTCTCATATCTCGAAAATGTATGCTATTAATCAATCATCTGAGAATAAGATTAAAGTAGATAATAAGTTTTAAAAATGACATATGAATGCCCGCTGCTGAGGAGTCTCATACAAGGATGAAACAACCGTTCAGTGCTTCCATATTTTCCATGGTTGTCTAGCTTCTATTGATTCATGATCTCGACCAATAAGATTACTGCAATATCCACAAAACTCCTTTTGATACATATTTATTTGCCAGGCATTTTACTTGTTAGAACAAAATAGATTTCTATACAGATGTACCATGAGGGACTACTACGTACATAAGTACTATGTTATTTTTGGTATTATTTAGGTAATAGTTTAACAAGGTATTTAACATACGTTCTTATGGTCAATAGTTTTCACTGTAACTATTACATACATATGCATATTTAGAATATTTTGTAACTACTCATTTTGTAAACTTTTTCTCAATTTCAGATACGTCTATTCTTTCTATGTTTGTATGAAAACTGCAACTTCAATTGGTTCATTACCTGCAGCGACGAATAGTTCAGAATTTTTATTCATGACTTGCTATTGGTTAAGTGGGATACTTGTATCAGCTATTCTGATTGGTCAGGTAAAGTGAATAAGGTTTAAACAAATAACATATTCAATCAGTTTTGTAGTTTCACAAGATTTTTTAAAACACAAGATTAATTAGATTAAACTATGTTACATGACAAGACCATTCAAAATTAAAAATATTTCGAGCAGATATCTGTGACACCCCGTAGTTATTGGTTGGGTACAGTGTTTAGAAAGTTGGCACTCATACTACTTTTTTTGGATAATAAAATCAGACATCACTTCAACAATCTGCAATCATAAAAAAGATCCTGTAAATTAATTCAAATTATTTTCATTAAGCTGAAAGAGTCGTTGATTAAACCTGAGCACATCTACTGAAGTAGGAAAAGTTAAGCAATACAGCACAGGATAGTAAAATTGTAGTGAACAGGACACGGGTGTGGACAATCAAATGTATTTGACGCAAAATTACAGGACTTGTTAATAAAATCTAACAATCATAAAGTAAATGCTTAATTTACAAAATATCCATCAATTGTCTCAAAATGACTCAGACTCCATTGTTCATGCATTTCCATACGAATTGCATTCTGTTCCCATTCTTTACTGTTCGATCACCTTGTCTCAGTGCTGCCAGACATTCTCTTTACGACTAACATTATATACTACTTATGTAGATATAAGTAGCACACACCACAAAATGAATTTATATTGAGTCAAAATCAAAAACCCAGATAAGCCCAAGAGAAGTAAATAACCATTTTAAATAACAATCGGAAAAACAATTGAAAGTGATCAAAGGATCATTCTTAAAACATCCTTTTCAAAATAGGGATCATATTCATAAGTTTATGGAAGCTATAGTTGTGGCAAGATCTCAAACTGTAAATTCAGGTGACGAGAGTTAAAATCCCACAGATATTACCAATTCCCTCTTGATCACAGGTATGCCTTACTGACAAGTAACTACTAACAAGAAACTTAAGTTCATGGTTTCCTGCTACCTATCTCTAACCAATTAATATCTTTTATTCTATTATCACTCATAAATATGTTATTTAATTGAATGGGATAGAATATCATCCATGTAATGTCTATCCATTAAAATTGAAATGACTAAATTTCCAATTAATCAACTTGTACTAAGTCAATGGTCTAGTTATCTACTTAACATATCATAGAATCTTTTCACTTTGATTACTATGACCACATCTGAAAATGAAAATAAAGGTCGATTATTCAGTTTACATTATCAAATTTTTTTCTACCATAGAAACTACATAACGAACATCGTTTCGTTTTTTTTTGCAAATTAGCTTAACATTTTACATTATAACTGAAACTACTACTAATCTAGGGGTTAAATTCCAATATTTATGTTTCTTCTAGGTACAATAAATTTTATTTATTTCAATATCTTCAATACTTTTTAATAAATAAATTCCGATCAAGTTCCTTAATTCTAAAATTCAAATTCATGTAACGAATCAATAGACAAGTTCATAGTGAATATGATCGTTTACAATTATAACAAGTAAATGTACAACTGTTAGTAAAATAAAATGAATAATGTTGAAATAAGTAGTACATATAGTAATGGCATATAGATATTCATTTTAATATTGAACCTTAGCAATTTTAATAAAAAAAATCGTAAATTTAGATTATTTCGTTGTGTTGCTCAATTTCGTGGATCAGTTGATGCCGGTCGGCTCAGTGGTCTAGTGGTTAGGCGCTTGCGCGCGAGACTGATAGGTCCTGGGTTCGAATCTCGCGGAGTGTGGGATCGTGTATGCGCACTGCTGAGGAGTCCCACAATAGGACGGAACGGCCGTCCAGTGCTTTCAGGTTTTCCATGGTGGTCTAGGCTCAGTTAACTCATGATCTCAACTATTGATATTTCGTTTTTATTGATTGTTTGAACTTTGCCACTGATGTTTAGGACTATATTCTATCAGTTCCTCTTAGTATATGTATATCCTGTGCGAATTGCCTCGATATTGCCATCAAGTCACAAACATTACAGATAGAGTTAGATGGTAGCCAGCACAGAAATCCAGGTTGCACGTTTCACTCCATTTGGGACTCGTCAGCTGGAATTACCTGCGTCCTAGAGTTTATGTTTACTCCGAGACTCAAACCCGGTACCTTAAACTTCAAAGTTGATGAGTTGTAAGCTGGACGAACTGCATGTCATGGATTCCATAGCTAGCCACCACCCAACTCTGCTCGTAATTTCAAATTGTAATTAGGATAGTTTTCTTGAACTTAACTATCCCTTTTCAACCTTAATTGGGACCTTATTAGAATTTATTGAACCAGTGTACACGCTAGATAATACTTTTTTCAACACAACTACAAGCGATCTACATTCAGTGAGTCTAGAACAGAAATCAGTAATAAAAAAGAATTCACAAAAATTAAAAAACCAGTAGTCCGTGTTTATCAGTTTAAGCTCAGTGAATAACCATCGTTAATAACCACATATTGAGTTCACAAATAAATTGTAAAAACAATACAATGATTTAAAAATACATATTTATCTACATATTCTCCAACCATAGATAAAACTAAACTCTAGTATATGGACGTTGGAAATGAGCTGTTCAAACTGCAACTGACCTACTATGGGACTAAGATATTGACAATAAATTGATTACTGAGTAGTGAGAGATCAACTCCATGTATATTAATAACTGGACACTATGAAAGTAGCTAGATTTCTATTAATAGTCATTAAATAACTTAGCCTTGAAATTTATTGTTGAATCATTAGAGTTTTGCTGTTATGAAAGTTAAATTTTGTCAGTCCTATTATGAAAAAAAAAACCATTTCGAAAATCTAAACTTTCAAACATTAACCTAACAGTTATAAGTTCTTCATGAAGCTATTTATTCACTGTGGTTAACTTTCTGTGCAGCAGGATTATCTATTTGACTTAGTAGTCTGAAACCCTAGATGACAGTTGTACATCAGTTTCAAAATACAATTCATATTAAATATAGTATTACAAAATTACCGGTTATTTTTTTTAGTTAACGTAATCGATATAATCAATAAAAACTCTAGGGTTCAGATAGATCAGATCAATATTATTTACTTTATTATTCATATATTTATGCATTTTTTTATCAAGGTCATTGATATATTGGATTCAGCGAGTGCAAATAAAGTGAATTATCGTAAAGTAATGGATGCTACATTATCATCTATGCAACAATTACATGCTCCACAACATGTTGTTGATAAAGTACGCAGTTGGTTTATGTATAATTGGGATCAACAGAAAACATTTAGTACGTTTTTAAATATAGGACTTATTATTGAGTGTTAATTTTGATCGGGTTTTTTTTCCCTGAATATCTAGCTTTCTTTATAGATAGCTTATATTTGATGTGAACTGTCATTTCGTTCAATTAAGTATATTCATCCATTGAAAAGTTTTGTCACGATAATAATTTCTTCATGGTTCACTTTGTCCAATACTATTATTACAGATATGGCTAATATCATAACATTTTGCAACGTACATTAAAAGGATTCAAATTATCGTCAAATGTATGGTAATACCTTAAGGATAAGATTAAACATACGGGCAAATGTAATATGCATGCACTAGATTAGGATTGTGGAGTAACTGAGAAAATCGCCAACATCATACGGAGTTCATACGACGAACTACACTGCAAAATGGTACATAGAGGACAGCTGCCAGACACATTCTAAGTAAAGACCAGAGTCACACAAGGCTTCTTATTCTCCCCCTTTCTGTTTCTCCTATCGGTTGACTGGATTATGAAGACCTCGACTTCTGACGGCAAGCAAGAGTACAGTGGACAGTTTAGATGCAAATAAAGGATTTGGACATTGCAGATGACCTAGGTCTTCTTTCCTATGCACAAAAATAAATGTAGGTTAAGACAAATGGTGTAGCAGAAGCCTCTGCAGTAGTAGGCCTTAACATACAGAAGGAAAATGAAAAACCCTCAAATACAACACAATCACACTTAGTTGAGAAACTTTGGAAGATGTGGAATCTTTCACGTATCTGGTCATCTGCATCAATGATTAACAAGAAGGATTTGATGCAGACGTAAAGGGAGGGATTGGCAAAGGAAGGGCCGCATTCCTACAATTGCAGAACATATGGAACTCAAAACAACTTTCAACCAATATCAAAGTCAAAATCTTCAATACCGACATCAAGGCAGTTCTACTGTACGGAGCTGAAATTTGGAGAACTAATACAACCACCATCAAGAAGGTACAAGTATTTATAAATAGCTGTCTACGCATGATACTCAACATCCGTTGGCCGGATACCATCAGCAACAGCCTTTTGTAGGAGAGAACAAACCAGCTTCCAGCTGAAGAGGAAATTAGGAAAAGACGATGGAGTTGGTGGACAGGACATACATTGCGCAAATCGCCAAACTGCATCACGAGACAAGCCCTAACTTGGAATCCTGAAGGGAAACGGAAAAGAGGAAGACCAAATAGCACCAGGTCGAGAATCGGAAGCAGACATGGAAAGGCTGAATAGCAATTGGAAAGGATTGCCCAGGACAGGGTTGGATGGAGAATGCTGGTAGGCGTCCTATGCTACAGATTAATCAAACTCAGGTAAAATTAAATACTATTTTATTAATGAGAGCATTCATTAAGGAATTCAATTGTTGAGTAGTTTTTAAAGCTACATAGGAAGAAAATAATTTTTAACAAATAATGTGAAGAAAATTTAGTAAAGGATGAGAGCATTTAAATTTTTTGATAGTGAAACAATGTTAATACTAGAATCTTTTATCAATCTGTAAAAAACACTATAAAATGAAGTATTAATCTGGTATTTTGTCCATACATTTTTATACGTTAAAGGCATCTTTAACCACAAACTGATATCAGAAGAAAGGAGAAAACTACGGGAACTTAATAAATGTTTCATCCTAGTTTGAGAATTATGACAATTACTCATAAAATAATCTGACGCTTTAAGGTTTCTGGGAAAAATATGATTTCAACTCTATTTGGTGTATAATATAGCTTGATACATCACCAATGTGATGACTGATTTACTGATATACTTGTCGTTTAGTGATTCCACCAGTTACGGTGTAGTGGACGAGAATACAAATGGGGGGACAATCGAATGTATTTATGTATAAAATTACAGAACGTCTTAGTAAAATTTGAGAACCATACAGTAAATATTTAAGTTGAAAAATGTCAATCAATTGTCTCAAACTTAACTGTTTCTTCTGAAAATACCAATCACTCGTCTCAGATTGTTCTCGCGTTTCCACACCAATCATTCTTTGTTCTCGTTCTTTTTCCTTCAATCTTCTTAACCTTCTACCGCCAGACATTTCATCTTCGACTGATGACACATACTACTTATATCAGCCGGAATCAGTAGCACACATCACAACAGTAATTAACTTGTGAACTTCAACTACTTCATATCCACATCATTTATTGATGAATATTTATTTTCATTTTAAAAACAAGGAAACATTTATAGTTGAAGCTAGGCATTTATACATTGGATAGTGGCTTTGTGGTCTAGATGTTAAGCGCTCGTATATTAGACCGAAGGTCCCGGTTTCAATTCCTGTAGCACAATCGTGAATACAAGTGGTCTCACATTACAATGAAACTTCTGTCTAATACTTTCAAGTTTTCAATGTTAATCTAGCTAAAATTAACACATGATCTAACCTTTAAGTATTAATCCAGTGATTGATAATGAATAACTTTCACTTATCTTTATTAATAATCAATAATCCAATTCATTATAACTAAATTCATTAAAATTATCTCTGATTCAACAGTTGAGATCACGAGTCATTTGAAGCTAGACCACCATGGAGAACCTGTAAACACTGGACGGCCGTTTTGTCCTATTGTGGGACTCCTCAGTAGTGCGCATCCACGACCCCGCCCGCGGGATTCGAACCCAGGGCCTATCAGCCCCGCACCAGGTGCTAAAGCAACTAGACCAATGAGCTGGCATCGGGGTCGTGGATGCTCACTGATGAGGAGTCACACAATAGGACAAAACGGCCGTCCAGTGTTTACAGGTTCTCCATGGTGGTCTAGCTTCAAATGACTCATGATCTCGCCTGTTGAAATTACTACAATCTCCACAAAATCCCTTCTGATATCTCTGATTCAGTTCATATTTATTTTATCATCTTTCAACTATAATATACATTAACTAATGATTAATGCATTTTACTCAATTTAATTAAATTAATTCACTTTATGTTTATTTATTTTATTATTAGATGAAAATTCATTATTTGAATGTTTACCAATAAAGTTGAAAAGTGATTTAGCCATTAGTGTACATTTTCATACTTTAAGTAAGGTGACTTTATTTCAGGTGAGTTAAAATAATCTAAGCGAACAGATTTTCTTTTTATCAGAAGGGTTTTGTTGGAGATTGTAGGAATTTTAATAGTTAACACTATGAGCCAATTGAAGCTAGACCACTATGGAAAACCTGGGTGGTGAATATGTCGCTCAATTTCATGGATTAGTTGAAGTTAGCCGTTAATACAGTTGGACGCCGGTTGGCTCAGTGGTCTAATGGCTAAGCGTTCGTACGCGAGACTGATAGGCCCTGTGTTTGAGTCTCGCGAGCGTGATCGTGTTTGCACATTGCTGAGGGGTCTCACAATAAGACAAAATGATCGTTTGATGCTTCCAGGTTTTCCATGGTGGTCTAGCTTCAATTGACTCATGATCTCAACTATCGACATTTCCTTTTTGTATATATTATTTATAATGTAATATGTAATGATAATATTATTGATGAATATGATAGATACGAAATTATAAGGTTTAAGTATACAGCTTTAGGTTATCCGTAACATTTTCCATGTTTCCTGAGTATGATGTACATATCCCTGGGAATTAGGAGGTCTTCATTTAGAAGATTTATGACGCTTCACAGTGAAAGCTGAGTTCCTTCGGAGATCACGAGGCTGATGTTCCTTTGTGACAACCAGAGCAACCATTAATTAGGTATATGGAATACTCGTACAATGTCGGAGACCGGGAAAGTTATCCAAATTGCTGCAGAAATGAAAAAGATACAACCTGAAAGTGCATGGAAACAATGAAACACATTGGACGCAGGTTGGACAACAAAGACTAGCTTCAGGGGAGCTGCTATTTTACTCCGGCTATGAAGAAGAAAATCTTGTACGTAACACGTTTCAGATTTTTCTATTGACTTAGTGTATAAGTGCCACATATTAAAGTGTAGTTTTGGTTTAAAAAGTATTATTTCAGTTGATTGCAATTATAAACTACTAAAAATTGAACAAGCGAATCATGACCTTGACTACACAGATTATTCATCAATAAATCTACTATCATACAAAGTTATACTAAATTAAACTTACTAAATGTGAAGCCGATTGTTTTACAGTGAAATTTAATGTTTTTTCATGTATGTCAAATGGCTGGAAGGTAGTCTGTTGTAGTTGGTAGTCGCCAGCAAGTTTTATTTGCAATCTTGGAGGACTTTATGTGGCTTGTTAGATTTGAACTTTCACTACAAATTATCATAATCAGAGATGTTATCACTGGGTTATTCAAACGGTGACTAATCTTTCATTGTGAAGTGAAAAAAATTTAAGAATATTAAGTAACAGTTATACCAAATATTTCGACTAGACAATACCTAGTACGTAAAAACCCAAGGTGGCCTGCTTGAATATCTGGGTTACCTGTTCCTGCCATCTGGATATTTCAATAAGTTATCTGTTTTCATGATTGTTTTAGTACATAATTATGTCTATTGGTCGCATAACCTATTCAGGTGCGTTTCTGAAAATTTTACGACATTCCGCTGTACAAATTACACAAGAGCTCAATCAGAGACATCGTGGTTGCTGGCAATATGCATCAGGAAAAAAATACATTAATCAGATGTCTATTCCTGAACTGCTAACATTTAACTGGCGAATAAAGCTAATAATAATAGTAAAATAGATTCAGTAAAATATGGTTAAATAAGATATATACTGAATAAATTATTCACATAGCAAAACAAAGTCATTTATATCATTTAAATTGAAGTGTGTAAAACGATTTGGATGCGTATATCACGCATCTTTCAATTCACCATAAAACTAACATGATTAATGATTGATTCTACCTGAAACCGGATAGTTCATGAGTAGGTACTGTATTCACTTTGTTTGGATACAAAGCTGTAATTTTTATGTTTTTGATGGAGTTTTGTTCTCTGATATGGATGGTTTGGTTGTGGGGCTTTCATCGTTCTTCTGAACGACATAATCAGTAAAACATCAGGTAGAATTGATGTGTTTGAATTTCTCCACATATGGTTCACAGCTTGTCCTATAGATCACTATATCGGACAAAGCGGTGGCTCTCTTCATATTTGCCTGTGTGAACATCAATTAGCGGTCAAAAGCCATGACACGTCCTAACTTATATCAATGCAGGTGGACAACTGCGGACACACATCCGACTAGGAAAATGTAGAAATCTTGGATCGATGAAAATCCAAAAACACCAAAGAATTTTTAGAAGCTTGGCACTCAGGCCAATCAGCAATCAACAATCACATTGAAATCGATCCGATTTATCAACCAATCGGGAGAATCATGGAAAAACATAGGAACAAAAATCAAACCAATGGGAGATACAACCAAAACAAAGAAGTAAATAATTATAGGTTTAAGGTCAACAAGAACTAGTCAAGATCGAGGTCTACGTGACAAGTTGTGAACCATATGTGAAGAAATTGGAACACTTCAATTCTACCTGAAGTTTGTACTGAAGATCCCGTTCAGTAGAACGATGAAAGCCCCACAACCAAACCATCCAGATCAGAGAACAAAACTCCATCAAAATCATTCATCTGAGCCGTAAATCTCCACCATTTCAATTTTTATGTTATTTTATCCCACATCTTAAATTACAAATACTCAACTGAAATAGTAATCATATAATTTGTATATTACACCAGTATTATTATTTATTTTTTATGAAAAATAGTTTCTTTCATTTGGTAATTAGAAATAATAATCAGTGCCCATTAGTTCATTTACTTATGTGTTGAGGATTTCCTTTACCAAAATCTTTTTTTATTTTACCCACCTCACTTAACCAATCATAATTAATTTACAGAATTGTGAAAAAGCTCTCATCTACGACATGATATTGAGATTGAAGCCTGTCGTATTTCTGCCCAAGGATTATATTTGTCGAAAGGTATGGTAAAGAATATATATATATTCCATTTAGAAAAGGGACCTCCCTATATATATAATGTGAATAAATATTGTTAACTCTACTCATCAAAAGATAGTATTTCACCTTTTTTAAAATGGATATATTAACAGTTTGAATACTGGTCGGTTTCTTCTGCCGATTTAAACTGAATAATTTTTTAAGATGTGATTCTATAATACTGCAAAGACAGTGAGGATCAAGTTATGGACAATTTAGTATTTTGCGTGGAATCCAAAATTTATGACTTGTGAACATTATCTTCGATGAAAGGGTTTGTAGAGAATACCTGAATTCAATGAGTGAATTGCTTATGAATGGTGATTATTTTATGGTTTGTTGCGTTTATATTGACGATTATTTCTGTAATTCATATATTATTCTCAGAAACAACCGTTATTGGTATAATTCCCCTTTCTGAAGTTGAAACAAAGTAGACAGAAGAGCTTATTTGAATGAACAGTTCTAACCAAACAATCAGCAGTGCCATAGCGCAAGATATATCAATGATTGTATCTTAATGGACAAACATGTATGTACATGCAAATTCGTCGTCAAGCCTTCAAATAATCAACATTTAAACCGTTTAGATAAGTAAATGCGTAGATTGTCACATAAGATTAACCATACGTAATCGTCTTCGCTAGCGTAAAGATATATAAAAGATATGTGGGTGAATTATTATGGATCAAAACAATACTACCTGACAAATCAACTAAATCAAAGGCTTATCTAATTTGAACATATACAAAGCTCTTTGTGGGCAAGGCTATTATATGTTTCATCATATATTGAAAATGACAACGAAAGCAATATAGTCGGAAAAAATCATCATGATTCTTATTCTATCTGAAAAATACTTTCAACAAAATCATGTCACTACTGTCACAACAAAGAACAAGCAGTTTCGTGTTGCACAAATTCTTTAAAAATTCCTAAAACTATATCTTCATATTTCTCAATCACTAGAGTATAACTTAATATCCTCGATGGTTTACACAATCGGGATACAAACAGGGTGAGAACTTCGAGAAGTTATTAGTAAAATCGGTAGGTTGTATTTGTCAAAGATTTAGCTGAGTCAAGGTTTCGTTGAAAACTATAGAATGCTGGACAACTATTTGGTCTTATTACGAGACTCGCCACCAGTGCACACCCATGACTCCACCACGGATCAAAACCAAGACCTTTAGGTTTCATGGCAAAAACTTCACTTTTAGAACTATCGTGTTACAATTACAACCTATGAATTAAACCATTCTTCACAAAACCCCCCTTAATTGAACGTTAATCTGTAGTTTCTTTGTATCGTATAAACCTTCTGGTTTTGTATTGTAACTAAAAATAGAATATTTATTTTGAAAATCTAATTAATTTTTTTAATATGAGTTTTATCAGAAAAAAGCAGCTAATATCAATAAGATACGTGTATACCTAACAATATCATGAACTTTTAAAGATAACACAAGTTAACAATGACGACAATCTTCAAAGTTGGATTTAAATTCATTATGAAATGTAGATAAAAGTAAACTTTATTAATGAGCCGATCAGAATCGAAAGCACGAATTTCAGGTTTTTTGCGAGGAGTTCAGATATCATGTTTACCGATCAGTACTAAGACCCTTTATTCAAAATGTTTAAAATGATAATGATAGTTGATTTTTTGTAGATACAGAGTGAAAAATATAGTGTTAACTTACCATATTCTTAATTATGTCTATTATGATTGTAAATAACAGGTAAATCTATACTGTCCCAAATTCCCAACCTTTAATTCTGAATTAGCCTAAACTTAGTGGTGTTAAAGTTTATTGATGAACTAATCAGATACCGTCTTTTGTATTTTTTTAAGTGCAATTCATTTGTCCATAGCTGATTTCAGTTTCTGATGAAAACTCAAAACTCATAATACTAACTTCAACTAGGAACAATGGGGTAACTCTTCAAATCTGTTTAGGTTCATTTAAGGATCAGAGAATACGGACAACTATATCTATTAGGGTTTACAAGTAAAGTAACTTGTCAAAGACCATTATTTGAGAAAAATCTGTTTGGACTTTGAAATAATGTTTTCTTTTCCATAAATTATCTACCTACGAACGTAGCTTTCTGATTGGCTAGAAACTACCTGGAAATTTGTCGCGCTTGTTTTAAGTGCATCCCTAAACTATGCTTTCGTTAAAATTTCTTTTCTGACTAATAATATTTATGCTACAAATAATAACTTTTTAATACAACAAATGAAGTTTATGGTTGAATACATGAGTCGATTTAAGCTAAACCACTTTTGAAAACCTGGAAGCACTGGATGGGCATTTCGTTTTAGCATAGGAGAAGACTAATTGAGGATATTTGTGTTCTAAGCATGTCTTGAATGTCAAACAAGAGGAACCGAATGCACTTTTCGGTCGGTAAAAATGACTACCTTTAAAGATAATCTAGAAAGAAGATTCAATAAAATCTACCAGTTTACAATTTCGTCCCTGAAACCAATTACAAGTATAAATATCAGTTAGAAGTATTCAGACACGATGCGACATACAAGCGTCAAGCTTGATATTTACGTCTTAATTCATTAACAAGTGAATCAACCATAAAATCTATGTCTCTCAGACTCATATGTCATCTGATCATGTTTAGTTTTGTACTAATGTTGTGTATATAGACCACCTTACTTTATCCAAGTTAAAAAACATAATCTACTCAGCTGTATTATCTTCAAGTTTCTATTCATTTGTGAACATATGTCAATAATTCAGTCTCTTGGGCACTTATCAGTCGGCTTTACTGTATCATATTAACTGTCGATAAGCTTTCTATTCAGTCATTTCAATAGTCCAAACAAAGATATACTCATTATTCCTAAAATCACGCGAAGCTGTTTGTAACAGATGAAATACCGAATACACATATATCTGGTAAATAACTCTTCACAAACTTATACCACATTGACCAAAATACTACTTATAGCTATAAAGCATTGTATAGATATTTGTTATTCGTCTAAATATCCGTGATACATTAACAACAAATAAACGTATTCATAATATTTGTCTTAAACTTGAACGTGTAACATTTACAATATCACTTCGAAATGAAATTCTATATATATTCGGCTTTGTTTTTAGACCCAATATCGGATATAAAAACAGGTATATCCAGCTAAAGAGTCCCAAATAGAACGAAATGCGCGTCCTGGAATCCACTGCTAACCACTATCCATTTTTGCTGATAAAGCTTGTGAATTAAGGCAATATCGAGTCAATCCACAAAAGATGCACATATGCTAACAAGGGACTGATCAATTTCGGCCCTAAACAACAATGAGAAGATACAAGCAAACAACACTAAGTGAACATAAAGCACTTGGTAAACTGAATTATAATTACATTTATGTATACATTTATTAATAACCGGGTCGGTTGTGAGATTATAACTCACTGATGACAATGATGGATGTGTCACTCGATTTCATGGATTAGGTAAAGTTAGACATTAACACCGTTGGATCCCGACCGGCTCAGTGGTGTAGAGTTTGATCGCTCGTGCGATAGACCGATAGGTCCTGGGTTAGAATGTCGCGAGTCGGGACAGTGGACACACATTGCTGAGGAGTCCCACGATAGGACGAAACAGCTGTCCAGTGCTTCCAGTTTTCCCATGATGGTCTAGCTTAGATTGACTCATGAATATAACTGTTAAAATATGACTCTATTCTCTGACATTTTAATTCTAATAAATCATTTTTATCTGCTAGAAATAGTAGGAATATATAGAGATTACTGACCAAAATATTTTTATTCTGTAAATGAAGCTATTTGTTAAACATCTACCTACTCTAGGGTGAAGTCGGTAAAGAAATGTATATTGTAAAAAGTGGTGCAGTTGAAGTTGTTGGCGGCCCTAATAATTCCATTGTATTTGTTACACTTAAAGAAGGCAGTGTATTCGGTGAAATAAGGTATGTTATTTACTGAGTATATTGATATTTTCATTCTTTGAAGGTACAGTTAATGAGTATGTTAACATCGCAAGTAATCTACGATTTTTCTTTTCCGTAAACCTTAAGTTTCATTCCTCCTCATGAAAATTAATAACGTGTCAGTTTAACTGTATTTGTATTATCCCTCTTTAACACTAATACTGATATAACGGATATTTAAAATATTTTCCTCACTCTCAAGTATATTGTGATAATATGTTAATACAATAGTAATGTGATGTATGCTACGTATGATGACAGATATAAGTAATATATAGCACCAATCGGAAGAGGAATGCCTGATAGCAGAAGATTAAAATAAAGAGAACAGAAAGGAAATCGGTGAGAATTCGAATTATCAATAAAATTAGAGGAATAATGAAGTATGTGAAGGACAATACAAAGATTTGCAAAGGATGTATTAAATGTATGATTTCCATATTTTACCATTAAACAACTTGACACACAAAATAGATGAAATCGAAGATTTTCAGATTTCCTGGTTAGGATTATTAGTGAGTTTTAATTCAGCACTACATACTATTAGATCCTTTTATGAAATTGGGATATCGCTCAGTACTCATTCATTAAAATAGATCAGTATTAGTCTTTATTCACCAACCAGTTACCCATACACGTTTAGTTACACAGATTTTATTGTCTTTCTGAATAACATCTTCGATGGAATCTTTAGATAAAAATGAGCTGGTATCAAAATATTTTAGTCTAAAGAACTATTCTGTGATTAGGTGCCTTTGAAGGTTTTGTTATGTTCGCATACTTTTATACTCTAGTATATTGAACAACTAGGTTGATTTTTTACCATGTAATTGTTTTACTTCCAGAAGGTTAATAAAACAGATCTATGTTAATGTAAATAATGAATACAGATAGATCTAAGTAGAAGAATCTGAAAACTATATAGCATTCTGAAATTTTGTCAGTCAAATTTCTGTTTCTAATTATTTCTGTACATTGATGTAAGTGATGATATATCGTCGCTTTTAGCTACTAATCTACATTCCTGAATATCAAGATGTAAAAAACTTCTATTTTATCTACTACGCTACCTCTTAGAGTTGGTTTAATTTATTTTGTAAGTGGTATTAGATCTATCTCTCTTGACTGTTAAGTTATTTGATCAGTTTAAAAAGGGATAAATGACTATATTGCCTTATGAGCAACAATAATTCCAAAACATTTCACTATTTTCGCTACGATTTTCGAAGCGTTTTTCACATATGATATGAGGATCTGTTATCGGATTTTTTGAGAATGATTTTAATATGGTCAGTCTACTTCTATAACACTTTTTGATAAAGTTGCTGGGATATTCAAATATAAGATGCTTTTTATGTCCTCATAGCCGATTATAACTTCCCAAATAAACCATGCTACTCAAAAAACACAACGCCATCACTAATCTGATGTTAAGTTTATCAGTTCTAATATTAGTAAGTATTATGTCATATGTTATTGTTAATGAAGATTAATCAGAAAATAATCAAATAATACAGCTAGATGTTTATTAGATCTACTTCAAATCTAACGGCTTACCTTTAACCTGTCTAGTTGACCTTTATTTTTCATATAAAAATGTCTTAACAAGTATATTATGTGCGATCAAATTGTTCGAAATGTATTGCACATATATATATCACATAATTCTGATGAACTTTATCTTCTCATTACATTATCGAAACTAACTAAAGTAGCCGGTTGTTTAATCAATAAAAATCTAGGTTATTTCATTCTTAGCCAATCAGTAATATTATATCAGAATAATCATTAAAGTTGGTTAAAAAAAATTGGCACTTAGCTCATCTTTAATGTAACAATGCGTTGTATAGTGGACATCATTTTGACTTGTGCACACACGAACACAGGCTACCAGTAAGAAGGCAATATTATATTTCATATATCAATTTATACAGACAACTATGAACAGAAAATCGACTGAGAAAATGTTAAAATGCTAAGTCGAGAAGTATTCAAGAATGCTAAGGGTTTCTAGAATTATGGTGTTTAAGTCAACCTAGAATCACATATCGGTATATATATCACTATGAAGCACGTACGCACACACAAACCTCAAAATACATCTGATCAGAAATAAGATCTATCAGAACAAAATAACTTAATCTTTATGGAATAATCAGAAAACTCATTTCTACATGAAAGAGTTGCTGATGATTTTATACAGAAAGACAATAGATGCTTTACAGTTAAACCATCCAGTTCAGAGAATACAATGAAAAAATAAAAATAAAAAAAACAACACAATTTTACATTCGCTTATTACCTGATAAATAATATAAACATTCTATAGTTAAAAATATTCTTTTGCATCAATTATTACAAACTATTACCATTAATCAACGCTGGCTAATATAAACAATGCCCTATTCTCTAAATAACAAATATGATTTAACTAGTTGATCAGAAGAACATATATTATTAACTTACTTTAATGTTGATTTGCTTTTTCTCAACACCGAAAAAGCAATTTTTATTACTGACTTTTCTATGTATCGTTTTTATTCTTTTTTTTCCTTTCTTTAGTTTATTAGCTTTATCCGGTAAGAATAGAAGAACAGCTGATGTAAGATCAAAAGGTTTTTCAACGTTGTTTAGTTTATCAAAACAAGATTTTGAAGAAATAATGAAAAATTATCCACAAGCACATGAATTATTGAAGAAACGATCACAGTAAGCCTGTATTTATTAGAGAGAGAGAGATACCATTTTGACAAATTTGTATTTCTTTCACAATGATAATCAGTAATCAGTTTATGAATAAGATGTTATTTCCTTATATCATGACTAAATCGTCATTAGAAACACTGACTTATATGACCAAAACCAATGACGCATTAACTAGTATGAGTAGCTGTAATATTTGGATTATCGTATGAACTAAGAATCCCAGAATTAACGCAATTGAATCAAGAACTACGACACAAGCACAAACGAATGTATTGTATTTGGAACTCGAAATCGAGCATTTAACAAGTACAAAAGAATCATTATTTAATTCAAACAGCACAGTAGCCTAGATTCAACTCTGAGTTCTTACTGGTTCTTCTCTCCTACCCCTTCCCGTTTAAGTTCAGAACACCAATATCAGCCTCTTTAATATGAATCATGTATATCAAAAATACTCAGTTTATATAGAAGCAAATTAGACCGCATCATACCATAAAATTTAAAATAACAATTATACAAGATCAGGCTGAAAGTGGACGTAAGTATGAGTTACTGTAACAAATAAATTGGGAATAACTTTAGAGTAGTAAATCGTATAATACTAGTCAATAGATCAAATGAAAGTGTATAATAAAAGCAATATGAATATACATATTAACATAAATCCACTTGGTATCGTTTTACCTGAATCCTCTCATTGTTGTTTAAGACTGCAATTGATCAGTCTCTTGTTGGCAGATGTGCATCCTGTGTGGATTGACTCGATATAGCCTTAAGTCACAAGCTTTATATGCAAAAATGGATAGTGGTTAGCATTGGAATCTAGGACGCACGTTTCGTCCTATTTGGAACTCATTAGCTGGATTTACCTGCATTTCAGAGTTGATATTCACTCTAGGACTCGAACCCAATACAAGACTCAGTAGCTCGGTGAATAATGCAATAGTGTTTGAAGTGAACTGCACTGGGTTTGAGTCTCAGAGTGAACACCAACTCTGAGATGCAGGTACATCCGGCTGTCACGTCCCAAATAGGACGAAACGTGCGTCCTATATTCCACTGATAATCACTGTCCATCTGTATATATAATATAGTTACCTAACAGATACACAATAAAGACATATATAATAACAGTTCATAAATAGATCCTAGCAGTTGCCATCCACTTATTCTTCGTCCGGAGAACAATCTATTAAACATACCAACAGAGTATGGTAATAAATAAAATAATAAATAATGTTATTTTTCCTGAGAAATTGATAATATAATTCTTAAGACTAGGAATATTTATCGAGAAAGTCACATAAGTCAGATAAGGATATATAGTTTTGAAAAACAGTTGTGTAATATAAGATAGTGAAAGTAATTGTAATCAGATAGGACATGGAAACATAAACAAGTCAGTAAAGAAGCGGAGGTGGAGGGAATGGAATGAGGAAACTGGAAGTAACGAACATGAAAAGAGAATCGGGTGAAAATGTCTCTGCATGTTTTTGTACGGATAGTTCTGACTTTTGTAAATGTGTGTTGAACTATTTTGCGATTTTAAAGGGGTGGTAACTCACTGTCTTACATAGATTTCTATTCACCCTATAAATGACTTCAAACGGCTAGTACGTTTTGATGAAATGATCTTTGTTCAAAATGTACTGAATTACCAAGTGTTATTTGGTTTTATAATTATTGGTTAATATTTCTATTTTGTACATAGGCGAATGCTTAGTCGAGACAAGAAAAAAGCAACTGATGAGGCAGTTAAAGAAAAGAAGAAACTTCAGAAAGAGAAGAGTTGTGAATTAAATTACGGGATGACGCAGTTATAGAAGTTATTCCTGAAAGACCTGCCACACCAAAGCTAATTGAAACAGTCGTAAAGGTAAATTGGGACTCTGATTAAACTCGTAGTTTCTTCCTTTTTCATCAAGTCGTTCAACTGTACAGATAATTCTATTGGACTATGACTGGTGGAACAGTATGACAAAAATTACCAAGATATTCCAATATTGAACTATTGATTGTTTTACATACACCTTCCAAAAATCACACAGGATAACATTAGAAATTGCGTTTAAAAAGCGTTTGCTTTATACATCCAATGTAACCTGTTCTACAAGAGCAAGTAAACTTGTAAATACACATTATTGTGGCTCGATGTGGAATTTTATCGTTGATACACCCACAAATGATAGGGCGTCTGGGAAAGACAATGCCAATCCAAATTGCGTAAAAAGTCTTCCTCAAAGATTTCGTTGGACTATTTTACAAAAGTCTTGCAGCCATATTTCCCTTAAATACAATGTTCATGAAGGGAGTTTTTTTAAGAACTGTAAGAAGTCTCACAGACTGCAGTTTCAGTTTCATTTTTCTCTGAACAGACCTTGATGAATAGCCGTTTTTATAAATATTTGTTAGCTCTGGGAATGTTTTTCACCGCTGTCAAGGTTGTTAGATATTATGGTGTAAATACTCCTACCATTTTCTTTTATTTGTTCATAATTTACTGGAATTTACTGAATTTTGTATTGTGTCCAAATAATCAATATATACATACATGCTACAGTAACGTTTTTATGTTTATATTTTTAGGTTATTGAATCTACTTATCCAGATAAAATGATAGCTAGACGACTGAAGGGTAGTTTTTCAAGTGAATTGGGAACAAGACGTAGATCGATTTATACAGTCAAACCAAGTGTTAACATGGTCACCAATAAAAAATCATCAATTTCTAATACGAATGATGACAATACAATTAATTGTAATGAGAAGGTAAACTTATATTTGTTTCTATCGGTATGCAAATATTTTAATGAAAGTACATGTTATGAATCTTTTATTATGAAAAGAATCACTTTCTCAGAGGTTAAACACCGAATGTGGACGGTGATACAGATTTCATTGGCCTATATTTTCAATTTCAGTCAGTTAATACATTGAATGGCTATTTAAACTATCATACGACCCACCCATCCAATTTCATACTATATATATATATATATATATATATATATATATATATATATATATATATATATATATATATATATATATATATATATATATATATATATATATATACTGTATATCACTAACTAATAGAATCCATATGAGTATGGTTAAGGAGAACTACTCTTATCAAAGTTGGATTATGGAAATTGTTGTTTTGTATAGTTTACATCACGGACTGAACTTGATTAAAAAGACAAATAGAGTCGAGAGATTACGTAATAATAACATGGAATCAAAATGATTATAAAATGATATTTTCACAGTTGAAACATCAAGTCTATATAAGCTAGACTGTCATCAAAAACTTGGAAGCCTTATTACTCACTTACGCCTGTTACCACTCGTAGAGAAGCATAGGACGCCCAACACCATTCTATATCCGACTCTGTCTTGGGAAATTCTTTCCAGTTGTTTCCCGTTACTCTTCATCCTTTTCGTGTCTGCTTCCATTTCTCGACGTAGTATGTTCATCTGCCTTTCTCTTTTCCGTTTCCCTTCATGATTACAAGTTAGCACTCGCTTCGTAACTCAGTTCAATGATTTCCACAATATATAGGTCGATAGACCTCTTATCCTTATTACTAAAGGCTGAATATTTCCTATCCACTTCCATCATCTTCCCCTAATTTCCTCTCCAGTTGATAGCTGGTTTGATCCCTCCCACAGTAGGCTGCTGCCGAAGGTATCAGACCAATAGACATTGAGTAACTTCGGTAGAAATATCTGTATTGTTTTGATGATGGTTGTGGTAGTTCTCCAAGTTTCAGATCCGTACAGTAGAACTGTCTCGACGTTCTTGTTGAAGATTGTGGCTTTCATATTGGTTGACAGGTAGTTTGAATTCTATATATTCTTCAACTATAGGAACGCGGCCATTACTTTGCCAATCCCCATCCTCATATTGCTACATCAAATCCTTCTTGTACATCGATTATGCCGTCCAGGTACGTGAAAGATTCCACATATTCCTGAGTTTCTCCATTAATTGAGACTGGGTTGGTGTTCTTCATGTTGTATTCGAGAATCTTGCTTTTTCCTTTGTGCATGTTGAGGCCTACTGATGCAGAGGCTGCTGCTATATTGGTTGTTCTGAACTGTATTTGTTGCTGTGTATGGAATAGAAGGGCTAGGTCATCCGTGAAGTCCAAATTGTCTATCCACATGCAAACTGTCCATTGTGTTCCGTGATTGATGTCAGACGTCAAAGTCTTCATTATACATATATATATAAACAAAACTTACAAGTTCATTTCGTACGATAACCAAATTTACAACAAGGCAAATGGTTCGATTTTTTCAAACAGACTGTTGTCTGGTTTAACTTAAAAAATAGTATAACATTTCCGTCTAAGTAACAACCGCGAGACACAATTTCTTGTAAAATAACACCGCCATGTATATTAAAGAGAAAATGAGAAGCCAAGACGCGTATCTTCCAGCAAAATCAGTGGGATAAAATCAATAGATATAAAAAGAGACAGAATTAAGGTCAGGAGGACAAAAGCCAGGGGAGGACGAAAAGGTAAAGAAGAAAGAAGCAGTAACAATGAAACTGACAACTAAAACAAAAGTACACAAAAGTATGTAGATCATTACCACTAAAACCACTCCAGAGGTCAACACATGAAGTTATAGTTTAAGGAGAAGCTACAAATTAGCTTATCGTTTTACTCTCTCAACATTAATGTTAAAAAAGAGGGGGGTTCTCTTTTGATAATCATCATGGAAATACATTTTCAAAATTAGTACATTGATACTGTCTCTAGTCCAAATATAAACGGATATAATAATAATAACAATAATATTATTGATAATAATAGTATGAACAACATGATTGATTTTTTCGAAAGTAGCTGCTTATCATTACCTCACTTATGAATTTATGCAGTTGATTTAAGTAGTATAATCAAAGGCGCGAAAAAAGTTTGAAATGATTGGTTTATGTGATAAAATAATGAGAATAACCAATAGACATCTACTAAATAGTCTGCTTATGCTTTCACATGATACTAAATTTATAAAAAGTTTACCGACGCAAATCAAATTGTTCCAACATTTCGTTATGTGAACTGGTTTAAGAGTCTTCTTCTGGGTTGATAATCAACATCACAATTCGTTCGTATGTTGAAGAAACAGCTTATATGGTTTACATATGTTGTGAGCTATAGTTAAATTTGTATTATTAGCAAACTCCGCCTGTAGCTCTTCTGGGTTTACTGTCGGTCTCAAGCCCACACAAATGAGGGGGGTTGAACATGAGGTCAACAACTCCATCCCGAAGCAAACAACCTTGCTAAAAAACATCTCTATTCATAATAAACAAATTAAATTGAAATCCTGGTGGGAAGCCTATGCTCCACCATGAGGGGTAACAGGCGTACGTAAGTAAGTAAGTGAACCTTACTGATAAACTTAAACGACTTTTCAGCCTATCAGAAAACACATATCTGGTTGTACGTTAATTTATAATACAAAATTAGGTTAGTTTCAAGACAAGTGAATTCTTAATCATAATAAACCAAAAGACATTTAGGATTAGGAGTTTGGTTTAGGGATTAGAGTCAGAAGTTAAGGTTAGAGTGAAGGGATGCTTTACAACCAAGATAATCAATACTTAATTGGATAATTTATTGAATTCAAATTTCAAAAACTTTTAAGTTACCTTGAAAAATGTTTAAATATTACGCACATTTTTAATTCTGTTTATTTTCTAATATTTTTTTTCATGAAAAATTCATCACTTTCTTATGGTAATTTTAAAGAATCTCTATAGTTTATCACTATTTTTTATTGTTGCAATGTTTAATAAGTTTAAACGTCTTAGCAACTAAATATTGGTGGGTTTTACTAAACTCTTTATAAGATACGATTGGTTTCTTATCATCACTTTAAAAAATTAACCAAAAAGCCAACATTTTTTTAAACAGATTGTTTCAGTAGTATAGTTTACTTCTGTCCAATTTATAATTAAACATGTAATCAATCGGTTAAAGTAAGTATTCTTTAGTAATATTGTTTGTCTAGTAGAGTCGCTCAATAATTCTAGACACTTTTAACAAATATCACTTATGATTGATAAATAATCATTTAATTACAACTGTAGAAAATCTATTTGTTCATTTAGAACTCGTCGGATGAGACTAAAATTTATGAGTAATCTTTCAGTGATTCCCAAAGTGATCTAATTAGATGTCAACTTTTTTATTAGATTTGAAATAGGATTAGAAATTAAAGTCAACAGTGACGACTAGTTGACAAGGTTAATAATTACGAATAGAGATTTCATTACGAACCGATATGAGCTATAATTCAAGAATACCCTGTAGTCATACGCATTAAAGAATCTCGAGCAAAAATCAAATAGGATATATTTTATCCAGAAATTATAGTTCAGTCATTCGTCTTTATGAATGATAAATAAATCCACATTATCCACATTGACTTTGGTTATATAAGCATTGAAATCCAGCAGGCACTGTGTAGATGTTCAGCCATGTCAGAGATGAAACAAATATAGTCATTCACAATGGATGATGGCTGTGTAATATCGTAAATGGATTGATGTTAAAAATGTAGAATCCTGTTGATCAACTCACTGAAAACCAAATAGTTTCAGTTTTCTCGTTTGAGATCCATCAATAATCTATGAATATCACTCTACAGTGAATCGAAGTTCTAGGGTTTTACATAGTTATTAACTCAAAAAATCAATCGCATTTTACATTGCTTGTCGACTAGGCTAGTAAGTTTGTAAACGAAAATTAATAACATAAGAGTGAATGTCTATATTCACGTATGTCTATAATAACCCGTCCAACTAAGTTGATTTTTCCCTCTCTCTCACTAGATCAGGTAAACTCATATAATATTAGGAATATATTTAGTTGCTTATCATAAATAAATAAAACCACATAGAGATTTGTAGAGTTTTCACAACCATTCTCGCTAACTTGGCCATCAGTATAGGGGAGTTTGTAGCAGAACTTTGATAAACTATTCCCATATTTCTTCCACTTTTTGTATTTTACTTCTTCTCAATATTTGCCTTTCGATCCTTACATAACTTCTATAACTACTGAACATTCATTAAAATATTTTGTTAATTCCTTTTTCTATATACTATAAACGTAGCAACTGCTTTATTTTTGAATAATTACTTTAATAATTATAATCCTCTTTCTTCCAATTACTCCATGTTAGTTTATAATCGATGTCATTATATGATTATTACGTAACGTATCTATTCGATGAGTACTATTTCACTATTGTAAATTATATATATAATTAAGTTCCAATGGTTGAGACCATGAGCCGATTGAAGGAAGACCATCATGCAAAAGTTGGAAGCACTGACTGACCGTTTCGTCCTAGTACGGGACTCCTCAGCAGTGTGCATCCACGATCCCGACTCGCGAGGTTCGAACGCAGAACCTATCAGTCTCGCGCGTGAACGCTTAACCTCTAGACCACTGAGCTAACCGGCACCAATGGTGTTATTGTCTAACTTCAACTAATCCACGAAATTGAGCGACACATCCACCATTATGCTTTATAACTGAAAACTAAATGATTAGTTTAAAATATATAAAAAAATAGCTTAACATTTAAAAAGTGACCAATAGAACCTTGATGTAAGAATTTTATATGCCTATTGTCAAAAGTTAGTTTTGTTGATGACTTTTGGTTGTATCGTGGTGATTATGTAATATTTTTATAAGTATATCAACTTATATCAAAAGATAACCAAAGAATTCTAGTAGCGTTAATTTGCAGTGATAAGTCTCAGCTATAAAGCTTTGTATGAATGATCATTTAGAAACGACAGTGAAGTCTGTGATGTTAGATAGGCATTTGTTATTTTTTGTAAAGTAAAATTGTACATCTACTTATTCGATCAGTACCACTTATTCCTGTCTCTATACATTAACCTTACCTTAATCATAACAAACAAGTGTAAAGTAAGAAGTGAATTAAAAACAAGGCTATATACTAATACTACTAAAAGCCTTTTATGACTTTTCAGTTAGTTAAAGTGACTACCTTGACTTTGATAGCTGACCGTTGCCTGTATTTGTATACTTATATACTTAAGCCAGACAGCTCTTGTGATTATTTTTTTATTCATAATGGACATGTGATTGAACATGACCTGAGTAAACTACTGATTTCATCTAGTCTGGGTTAAATTCAATTTATATGACAATAGACATTGATATATTTAATGAACGTGAATATTTTGAGATTTTGTCCTAGTTCAATGTGACATTAAACAATTAAGCTATCATTTTCGACTGATAAGATAGTGACAAGTCTTCTAACTGAACGCTAATTCTGTTCTTAAGCTCTTCTAGTAACCCCAAGGCTAAATCTACACAGTGATTTGAACACGAAAGAAAAGGCACGACATATGGGAGGAAAGTTTTACGCAAAGCTTCATTTATGTACAGAAAATCTAGGGTTTTTATAGTATTTCAGATGTCTCTGGGTTTCCGTAAAATTCTAGAACTCCACTAAACATAGTAGCAATATGAGTAATCATCCAATCAGAAACTCAGCATGTGACTTTTCACTGTCTAGATGTTTCTGGCGAAAACTTCTAGTGAAAGTTGGTTGGATAAGATGCTTCTCAGCGTGTTCAGAGCATTCGTTGGCTTTTTTCGAGGAGTTTTCCGGAACTCCCCCAACAGACAGAACTACAGATCTATGATAATTTGCTCACCTTATAACAGATTATAATCATCATATATTCACTAGTGACGGTCTCCATGAGGTATTTTCTGGAGTTCTAGTGAGAAGCAGTGACCAATGGAGTTCATCCGTGTCTGTTATGAGATAGTAGCTCACTGAAGACACTAATGGATGTGTCGCTCAATTTCGTGGATTAGTTGAAGCTAGACATTAACACCATTGGATGCCGGTTTGCTTAGTGGTCTAGAGGTTAAGTGCTCGCACGCGAGACTGGTAGGTCCTGTGTTCAAACCTCGTGAGTCGGGATCGTGGATGCACACTGCTGAGGAGTCCCAAAATAGGACTAGCTTCAATAGACTCATGAATCCAATTATTAAAGAACAATAATTACCAGGAAAATCACAGATCAAATATAAACTTTCATACAATATTTTTACCATTTTAAATTATTTCCTAAATTCAGATCTGTTTACCGGAACTAATTAGAGAAATAATCAATAGACAATACTTCTCATTGTATTAATATTGGACGTTTAAGTGTCTGGATATTATATGACTAAAATTTTAATAAAGGATTATTGATTTCTTAATTGTTAAATAACTTATGATCCTTTCTTTTTCGCTGAAAGATTTTGCATAGGAGCAAAAGTTTATTTATTCAATCCGATAATTAGTTAATTGTCCTTTTTTTTAAAAAAAAGAAATTAAATTTCATCAGTTAGTGTTGATAGATCCATTCTCTCAATTAGAATGTCATTTCAATTAGTTCAGTTAATTCAATTGTACATCGAACCATATGCTGGTTTATAACAAGTATTAACAGTAAGTAGTTTGGTTAAAATAAATAACTAGAATTTTTATCAGATGGGTTTTGTGGAGATTGTAGTAATTTCAGTGGTTAAGATCATGAGTCAGTTGAAGCTAGACCATCATGGAAAACCTGGAAGCACTGGACGGCCATTTCGTCCTATTATGGGACTCCTCAGCAGTGTATATCCACGACCTTGCCCCTGTGATATTCGAACCCAGGATCTACTGGTTTCGCGCGTGAGCACTTAACCACTAGACAGCTGAGCTGGCCGGCATTCAACAGTGTTAATGTATAACTTCAACTAATCCATGAAATTGAGCAACACATACATCATTGTCTTCAGTGAGTTACTATCTCACAACAGACCTGGTTGAACTCCACTGGTCACTACTTCACACTAGAACTCCAGAATATACCTCGTGAAGCCAGTCACTAGTGAGCATATGTTGATTAATATCAGATGGGTTTTGTGGAGACTGTAGTAATTTCAATGGTTACGATCATGAGTGGATGCGCACTGCTGAGGAGTCCCACAATAGGACGAAATGGCCGTCCAGTACTTCCAGGTTTTCCATGGTAGTCTAGCTTCAACTGACTCATGATCTTAACCATTGACTAGAATTTTCGTTTTATTTATAAGTCAACCTAGTGATTCACAACGAATATCTACATACTGTTTAGTGGGTATTTGTACAAATAATATAACGTTTCTATGGGATCAGACAATTAAACGCAATTTTATCTTATTTCTTATTGACAAAATTATATTACAATCTTTTAGAAAGTTATATATCTACAACTTATAATGCTACTTTTTAAATGGATGACGTTGTTTTTTGCAGTTTGAAAATCCAAAGATTGAATTCAAAACTTATTCAATAGATGTAATGGCATTCATCAAACATTTGGTTTTACTATAGCATGTGTACTCCCTCTTTAAATATCCTATTAAAGATGTCAGATAAGGATAACTACTGAAGTGTATACCAGAAACTGACATTACCAAGATAATATGTCTACTTTTAACTTCTAACTCATTATTATAAATACACCGTTTATCTGAATACTTCGACTATTGATTTTCTATAAATTCGTGATTGATATAATTTGATCAACATTAAAGGACCCAACAAATATGACAGTGATTACTACTCATTGATTATTCACTTTCTAAATGTCTCAGTTAAGCTCATACAGCTCAGTTGTAACATCTTAGATTGTGAAGCCCGTTGAATTAAATCCGAACTGATAGGGAGTATCACTTCCCGAAAGATTGTAAAAATGCTTCACAAGTGTCAGCTAATAGGATGATGTCTACCTATCGAATACTTCCAACTATATAACATATAAATTCTGTATACTAAATTAATGTATTTAGACAACCTATGCAGGGGTAGCTAGTGAAAGAAAGCACACATATATCTTATGAATTATACGTAAATGACTTCATCCTTGGGTATATATTTGTATCAGTACCACTTCTAGTCATCGATATGTGATTCTTAAAGAAATGATCAAACAAGAGTATCTGTAGTCACGTGATTTACCTCAGCCAAAACTATAATACGGATACATCTATTTTATTTGAATTTAGAAAGTAATAATGATGCAGTTTGAATGTTTCCAGATACTTTCGATCGATTAATCTTCCAAATGTTTTAATAAGAGAATGCTATCTGAATGCTATCTACTTAAAAATTGAACTTAGAATCAGGACAAATTTAGTTATTATTCATAAACCCATTTAGTGAAACAATAATATTTCCGACTGAGTTATCTAGAACACAGTACATAAAACAGCTTCTCATGGTATTTATTTCATGCACTGCTTATTAAAGACAGCTATATGCTCAAAAGATGTACGACTATTACGGTGCATATTCCGTCAATCATACTGTACTTTAAAATGATGTCACTGATTATTCAGACAAGTAGTTGAACATTTGCTTTAGTCGCAGTTGTTCATTTTCTTAAGTGATTCACATGTGTTGTTACTGACTCAGGCCTTCCTGTTATGAACCGATCCAAGTTAGACTACCATTAGGGACCTGAAAACACTAGACGGGCGTTTTGTCCTAGCACAAAATCCCTCATCAATGTGCACCCACCAACCCCCTCGCGAACACTGAACCTCTAGACTACTGAGTCGGAACCAAAGGTTTTTGATTTCTAACTTCAACTTAGGTTGGTTAACGATTTCAATGAAATTCAACAATCGCCACAACCCATTACTGACTATAAATAGATGAAATCAATGTGAACATAAAGCGAAATAATTAAGAATATAAAATGAGAAAGACCAGTTCAGTAGAATTATAAAATTTACTTTGAATACAAATTTTCAGGTATAACTTATGGATAATGATTGTTTTTTCAGTCTTAGTAACCTTTAAGATCCACATTATGTATGATGTTTGAATAAACTGCACAGATAAAATGAAGTTACTTCCTGGATTTCCAAGTGACTAGAAACAATCAAGCTATCTTAAAAATTGCGCTGTAAAATGTTTATCTTGAACCATGAAGGTGAGTATTCCGAGATGTAGTTAGAGATTTCTAAAAAAACACTGGGAGTACGTCCAATGTAACTTACATTTTATTGGGTCATGTGAGTTGTTATTCCCATATAGACGTTACCAAACATGGTATAGCTTATTGTTCCCAGTAATAACTTAAAACGATGTCATTATAGAAAAAGAATTCTCAGCTAAATTTTACTTTGTCCCATTACTACTGAAATTTCTGGACAGTTTTGTGTTTTTATATTGCTTTAGATTATTTGAATTTCACTTTCATCATATGTTGTTATCTTCTGATGAACCAATCGGTTTACCGTTTGGTAGCGATTTGCTAAAACATTACAAGGTTAAAACTTTGCGACTAAAGAAGCATTAGTCACGAAGTCACATAACTGACACCTCGCCTAACAGGTTTAAACTCATTAGTGCCAGTCACTGTATTGTTTCTGACATGCATGTAAGAAAATAATTTAAAGCCAACGTGTGCGACCAATGAACTGAAGTCAAAACCCTAATTGAAACACTTCCTTTCTGTTATAGGAACCTGAAACAGTCCCATGTCAAAATGAATTACAGAATCAAAAACTTACAGATACTCTGCCAAAGGAAGATACAAACAATCATGATGAAGATGATAGCGATAAACAATCTGAGAACTTCGATCAAAGTGTTGTAACTGAGAGAACAACTCAACATTGGATTGATATGTTATCGGTTGGTCGAAATCCTATCAAACGTATTACAAGTTATTTTCCGCATATCTGTTAAAAAAATATTCATGAATATATGTTAAGATTGGTGAAGAAATTTAAAACGATGTTTTATTAAATTAATTTAAAATTTAAGCGGAAGGTTTTTCGGTGAGATTATAACCTATGAACGACCTTTGAGCGAAGTAAGACTGATCTTGAGAGTGTCCACCTAATAGCCAGGACCAAATGAGGGTTATAAACCTGTGTGAGGAATTAGAATCATGATTTACGGTTGATGATTATGGTTAGAAATTAGATTTAGGGTTCTCTTCACGAACTGACATCAGTTATAATGCCAAAACCCTATTTATCCGAATGAATGAGTGCATTTTGCGCCAAAATCCGAGACCTGTTACCTTATACGTGATTGGTTCGTCCATAAATTATAGTCTCGCCGGTTTTTCAATTCAGTAATGAACTAGAAAGCTGAGTACTTCATTTTGAGTTACATATTTTATTGACAGTCTATTCAAATAGTACCTATTTACTCGGATCATAATAGATGAAGCGGAGTTAAGAGTTGCCACCTAATGGTTGAAAATTAAATACATTGACTATAAAGCCATCGATCTTATTCACTAAAATCTCCTTTTGTAACTAAATTAAGATATTTAACATAAATATAAAGATACTGTAATTAATTTGCTTGAAAATGACCACATTATTGTGTTGAGCGATTGTCTAAGTCCGACAATGATATAAATGCTTCCAAGACCAATCAGAGGATATGAGAAAATCAAGAGTGAGTAGGAAATCCTATAAGCTAACTGAATCAAACTATACGCAAGAAACCCATTCATAAATATGTACTTGTCTCCCTCAGAAAATTAGGACAATTTTTCAACGAACATCGTATATTCGTTTCCTAAAGAGTTAAACCAAGTCTTGATTAATAGCATGAACCTGCCAGCATCTCACTTATTTTGCTTTGATCTGAATTGACTGATTATCTCAGCTTATCGAAAATATGCTTTATCAAAATACAATACAGGAAAATATTTTATATTAGATCATATTTTCCGATAGTAGCTATCAGAGCCACTAACTAAGAATACGATTAACTTGTAATAGTAGCGAATATTGAGACATTCGCTTCAGGAGACTTTAATGCAACTTATTGACTCCAGCTAAGTGACAACGACAACTGTATGATTTTACTCAAATATGTATCTTTAACTTCGTAAACATTCTACCATTAATCACGTTAACACAGCGTAGAAATTAAAAGTCAATTACAAGTTATAGTTAAGATGTGTATATTTAATACATGCTTATGAAGAGTGGATGAAAGACCAAATAGCGGTGAATATGGATACTAGCATTTAATCAAAATTAGTTGAGCACACAGTTGATCTTCATATAAGGCGAAAAGTGTCTAAATTATAATTAGACAATTAGAGAGTAGATAACTGATATACATATAAGCCAATTATTGATAGAAATGCTCATGAATTTAATTTGCAATGTTATGAATAAAAGAGGTATATGTATGGAAGGACACAATTGTTTATAAAGAATGAGAAAGCTAAAGAGATAACTCAATAGTCACTATTCCATAATAATGTAGTAAACAATAAGTGTTTTTCTGCATTATTGCCTTCTTTTTGCATCCTATAATTAAGGATTATTGTTGAAGAGTCATGTATGTTCGTCGCTAACTAGATTCCGTTTGTATAACAATAATCTCGATCATTTGTAATTAACAATTATCGAAAACTGAACCGAACAAATTGCGTGAAGTAACGTTTTACAGTTGGACAATTTAAGAAAACACTTATATTTACTACAACATAAGTACATTTTAATGGTAAAACTCAAAAAGAATATAAAACATGGTAGATTTTCATCAGATGTCTTATTTCAATGAGTATGGATTAGATATCCGAACATATTAATATGGAAGACGATATACAATAGTTCCGATTAAGTTAAGATACATTAAAATACACTAAAATAAATCAAAAGTGTAGTTAAGAGTTAATGTAAGAGTTCACATGTGACCTATAAAAATAATAACATTTCTTAATATCAGAAGGGGTGAGCATTGCTGAGTAGCCCCATACTAGAACGAAATGTTCGTCCAGTGCTCCCAGGTTTTCCATGGTGGTCTAGCTTCAAGTGACTCATGATTTCAACTATTGAAATTTCTTAATAACCAATAGATTAAAAACACTTTTGAGAGACAGAATTATAAAGAATGATACATTTTTCAATGACATAATTTTCGCTACATTTCGTAGATTTAATTATCATTTTGGTAAACAGAACATCTACAAACTAAACAATCTTTATATTACCTCTTTACAGTATTAGCCACATGAAAATTGTTAGAATGTCAAAATATCATCTAAGTAATGATCATATTAAATAACTATAATACAAATCTCATGTAATTAATCATTCATTGATTTAAACCTCTTAACAAAATTATATATAACCAGTTGAATTATCGATTTCAATAGTTGGGATCATGAATCGATGGAAGCTAGACCACCATGGAAGACCTGGATGCATTGGATGGCCGTTTCGTCCTATTGTGGGGTTCTTCAGCAGTGTCCATCCACGATCCCGCCTAGCCAGATCCGCACCCATGACCTCAACTACTGAAATTACTAAATATCCACAAAACCCCTTCTGATATTCATCAGCATATGTTCACTAGTGACTAGTTTCAAGAGGTGTTTCCTGGAGTTCTAGTGAGAAGCAGTGACCAGTGGAGACAATGATGGATGTGTCGCTCAATTTCGTGGATTAGTTGAAGTTAGACATTAACACTGTTGAATGTCGGCCGGCTCAGTGGTCTAGAGGTTAAGCTCTGACTCGACTAGTAGTGTTCGAATAAAGAGCCTTCACAAGGTTTATGTACTTCTGAGGTATGCCTTTCAATGACAGACATTCACAGAACAACTCGGTCTACAGAGTCAAATGCTGCTTCCAGGTCAAGAAAAACTAACATTGTCAGACGCCGATAATCATGCCTGTGTTCTAAAATCTGATGAATGGTGATTATGTGGTCAATACAGCCACAATCAGGTCTGAAACCAGCCTGATTCTCTCGTGTTTGCAGTTCACCAGTCTTAATTAGGCGTCCGATAATTATTGAGGCTAGTATTTTAGATGCTATTTTAATCAAACCAGTCCCTTTATGGTTATCACAGGATGATGTGGACCCCTTCTTATGTATTGGGATAATCAGTGATTGCGGCCAGTCAGATGGCATTACGTCCAACTCCCAGATTTTAGCCAAAATATCAGTCAACCTAATCGCTAAGACTAGACCACTATCTTTAAAGATATCTGGAGCCAATCCATCTGGACCAGATTAGCTATAGCTTTTTGGACTTCAGCTCGAGTCGGGGGACCTACTTCAATGTTCCATTCAGGCTGTTTGGAAATGGTGGGTGGTAGTTGTAGAGCAACTGAAGGCCAGATGAAGTGCTATTAAAGTGTTCCTCCCATAGTTCTAAACGTCTGGGCTGAGGGCAGATAAGAGCGTCGTCTTTCTCCGGGATCATCTTACTTACAGTTGACTTTTATTAGTCTGAACAGTTAGTCTGAAAAATGGAAATACGTTATCGATCAAAATAGAGTGAATATTATAAATTGAACTGATGGAGATTCGCATGTGTTCTAAGAGCTGGGTGGCTTAACTGGAAACTGTCATTGTCGTTCTGGACATGATTGGCGCTTACATCATGTAGAACATTACAACACAATTAGAATTAGTCATCGTAAACAATATAAAGTTCTCTTAGGAAAGAATAATCAAATAATTCAGTGAATTACTAACATTTGTTCGTTACGACAGTTTAATTTAAAATAATGAAATTTCATACACATAGTTCCCTTTATCATTTTGAAAAGAGCAAGAACAAAAATTCTAGCAGAATAGAAACAGAAGCCTTATCACTGGGACTCATTTCATATCCCTACCGAAATGCTCTCATACGGCCACGTGTATACAGCCTCTGACAAGGAAGTCCTACTCACTGCCTTCTCGTAGCATTACTGTTGTTTACGAAAATGAGAGGATGAAAAGAGAATATCCGGTGCTTTAACTGGATTCCAAACCAATGGTGCAAATGGGCTCCAGGATCCTGCGGGAACAAATGGCGTATGAACCAATCGTTGGTCACTGGTTACCATGGGACTACATCTCCTTACGATTCTCCACTGCCTTGTGGGTCATACCTTTAGATCAAAGGCTCGGGGTGTGGCCCCCTAAGATAACCACATGCTTCGGTCTGAGCACTCGGGCAGTATCACAGCCCACACACAAATATGATGAACTGCCTATAGTTATGGAAACTACTTTACTTGCTTCAACTAACAATCAAGTGATTCAAATAATTATTCTTACTATTATTATTATTATTGTTATTATTATTATTATTTACCACATTATTCACCCCCTTTTATACCTATACAGCGGCTCGTCTTTGGTGGAAACTCTGTTCTATCTAAACGTTCTCGAGTCACTGCCTGGTTGAAAATTGTATGCTACCACCAAATACGAATACTGAAGCAGTTTTTCTGAAACCACGTGCACCATTCAAACTGGCTGCCTTCAACGTTCGCACACTTATGCAGGTCGGACAACAGATAGGGCTGGCTATGTCTTTGGAAAGTCTTAATATCAACGTTTGTTGTCTATCCGAGACCCGTATTCAAGACTCTGGTGAAGTACTACAAATTCGCTCTCCATCTGTCGCTTCGAAAAGCTTGTTTTACGTGCGCTTATCCGGGGACCCTGTGGCATCTTCGTCTGGTCTTGCTGGCGTTGGTGTCGCACTAAGCGCTAGAGCTGAGGCAGCACTAGTCGATTGGATCCCCATTAACAGTCGGTTATGTGCTGTTAGATTAGAAAGTTCCATCAAAGTGAGAAGAAATCGGCGTGAGAAACGATGTCTTTTCGTCATCTCCGCCTATGCCCCGACAGATTGCAGCCCGGATGCAATCAAGGATGAGTTTTACCACCAGTTACTGTTCTTCTCCAGAAAGTGCGTTCGACAGATATTGTAGTACTAGCCGGAGACTTGAATGCTCAGGTCGGGCGTCTAGGCACAGAAGAGAGTCGTTTAGGTGGCCGATGGGGACTCGTTGGTCGCAGGTCAGATAACGGGGACCGTCTACTGCAACTGTGCACAGACCACAACCTGTTTCTGGCTAGCACTAACTTTCGGCACAGTCATCGCCGATGTGCCACCTGGCGTCCTCCCTCTGCATCTCAAGCCTGGACTCAGATTGATCACATCGCGATCAGCTACCGCTGGCGTGGTTGTGTACAAGACTGCCGCTCCTTTTGGAGTACCTATCTGGACTCTGACCATGCCTTGGTCTGCGCCAATCTTACCTTACTTTTCAGTGGACAACGAAGTGACCACCACCAAAGGATTGATATTAGCAAGTAACTATCCAATCGAGCTAGCCTCTAGGCTAGCTACCACTCCACCGAAAAGTATAGATGAGCATTGGTTGCAATTGCATGACGCCATGAAAATGGCGGGAACAGTCAGTTGTGGGTTTGCGAAACGTCCCGCTTTTAAGCACTGGGTTTCTTCTGGTTCCTTACAACTCATTGAAGCCCGTCGGTCTACTCCGGGTGACCGTGAGTTTGACCATAAACGAAGGATGTTACGTAAGGAAATTGGGCAAAGCTTGCGTAAGGACCGAGAAGCCTGGTGGTCGAAGCGTGCTAATGAGCTGGAAGCAGCAGCTGCATCTGGTAACTACCGGAAGCTCTTCCAGCTCATCCGAGCCACTGGCAGCAAGAAGTCTGGTGTGAGTGAAACAATCTGCGAGGATGATGGGATGCCAATCACTAACATCCATCGACGTCTTGGACGATGGGCAGAATTTTTCGAAGGGCAGTTCAACTGGCCTGCTGCTCCGGCAACATCGGTCAGACTGTCCTGCCCTCCATGGCCGGTGACGACTGATCCACCAAATGAGGAGGAAGTCCGCAAGGAACTCCAACTCTTGAAGCGTTACAAATCACCTGGCCCAGATGACTTACCTCCGGCTCTTTTTAAAGATGGTGGTGACTTTTTGACTAAGGAATTGACGACGTTGTTTACAAAGGTTTGGGAACTAGAGAGTGTACCAACGTCATGGAATGAGTCGATAGTTGTCCCTATCTTTAAAAAGGGTTCACGTCGTTCCTGTAACAACTATCGGGGGATAAGTCTACTTCCGATTGCGTCCAAGCTATTGGCTTCCGTCATACTTCGTAGGTTGTTCAAAACCCGAGAAAGATTGACTCGCGAGGAGCAGGCTGGGTTTCGTTCTGGTCGAGGATGTATTGATCATATCTTCACCCTCCGCCAAATGTTAGAACACCGCCATACTTATCAAAGGCCAACAATCGTAGTGTTTCTTGACATCAGGGCTGCCTTCGATTCGTTGGATAGGACTGTTCTCTGGGATTGTCTATTGAAGAAGGGTGTGCCTGAGAAGTTTATTAACATCCTAAAAGCCCTATAAAAAACACCTCAGGCAGAGTGAGGGCATACAACCACCTCTCTCCATTCGAGCAGTGGGGTTAGGCAGGGTTGCCCAATCTCACCATTCCTCTTCAACTTTGCCATCGATGACATTCTGGAAACAGCTCTGATGAATGTAAGTAATGGTGGTGTGGATCTGTTGCCTGGAGAAAGACTTCTCGACCTTGAGTATGCGGACGATATTGTCTTACTGTGCGATAATGCCCAAGGCATGCAATCCGCACTTAATCAGTTGGCAATCAGTGTCCGTAGGTATGGTATGTGCTTTGCACCTTCGAAGTGCAAAGTACTTCTACAAGACTGGCAGGATTCTAATCCTGTACTCACCCTGGATGGTGAGCAGATAGAAGTAGTCAAGAAGTTCGTGTATCTGGGTAGCTGCATAAGTGCTGGTGGGGGTGTGAGTGATGAAATCAATGCACGTATAGCGAAAGCCAGAGCGGCTTATGCCAATCTGGGCAACACAGTGGCTAGAGACGTTATCAGATATGGCTCAGAATAGAAGCCAGTGGCGATCCTGCTGTAACCTTTTACTTTTTTCATAAAAAGTGGTTGTGTCTCCCTCAACTGAAAGGTTTCTTCTGATTGTACCTTTCCGTTCCCTCATTATTACTATTATTATTACTACACTACCTTACACCAACCTCTTCCTTTTTTTCACGCTCCTTATCTTTTTTTTCTTTCTCTTCGAATTCTCATTGTTTTGTGTGGCGCATATATATTGGCGCTCTCTTGTACCAATATATATGTGTTCAAATAAATAATAACCTCATATGCATGGTTTACCAAAAGTTCACAAACATGACATTCCCCTTAGACCTATCCTATCAATGATCAACTCACCGTATCATAAAGTTGCACGGTGGTTAGCAGTAAAACTAGAACCGGTTCGTCGTAAATTAGCAACATATACGTTAAGAGATTCATTCCAGTTTGCTGATAGACTAAATCATACGAATGTTACCGACAAGTTCATGGTCTCTTTTGATGTAACATCCTTGTTCACCAATATACCACTTTTTGAAACTATTGATATTTGTCAGAATGATGATCTCCTACCTTTACCAGCCCCAGAATTCAAAAAACTACTACTAATGTGCACAACAGATGTTCAATTCCAGTTCAATAACACCATATATCGCCAAATCGATGGCGTAGCAATGGGAAGCCCACTAGGTCCAATTATGGCAGATATTTTTATGGGGTATCTTGAGAACACGGTACTTAAACAGGCAATTAGTGAAACAACGGAATACTCCAGATATATGGACGACACATTTACTATCTGTAACAATAAACAACATGCAATCCGCCTGCTAAAACTTTTCAATAACGCTCGCACTAACATACATTTCACTATGGAGCACGAACAGAACGACATGTTCCACTTTCTTGATGTTGCCATAAAACGCAGGGGAGAAGGGACAGTCCAACGTTCAGTTTATACAAAGAGTAATTGGAATGGCCTCTACCTGAATTTCAATAGTTTTTGTCCAATTAGTTACAAGAAGGCATCGGTTAAAACACTATTTTACATGGTAGAAAAGATATGTACCACCGACAAACTGGAAGAAGAATTAATGAACGTAGAAAAATGTCTAAAAGACAACTTTTATCCACAAAAGTTTATTAACAAATATAAAAAGCCCAAAGAAAACAAGACGGAAATAACTACGGTCAATAAAAAGCCAGTTTATATAAATCTTAACTTTAAAGGTGATAACGTCGCACAAATAATCAGCAGGAGACTGAACACTGCTCTAGCTAGAACTTATCCGGCTGATAAACTTTTAACTCTCTATAAAACATGTTCAATAACCCAACCAAAGGTCGACAAGCACCCCTTTCATGTCACCGCCAACTGTATTTGTAAATTTACGTGTGCCTGCCAAAGCAGCTACATCGGCCGAACTGAAAGGAGAGCATATCTTAGATTCTTTGAACATGTTCCAAAAAGTCTTAGAACAAGGGAAAGGAAGACTCTGAACAGTGCAATCACCAAACATCTCCTTGATACAGGACATCAGGTAGACACCTTACAATCCTTTAGGGTGATTAGTAAGCAGCCAAACTCCAGTCTTCTGAAGCCGTTGCCATCAGGTGTCAAAAACCTGACCTATGTATTCAAAAGGAGACGGTGATTAATCTTTCCTTGCCTTGGTGATAAATATTCTTTCGCTGCATCTTAAAAAAAATTTCTTTTTTTTCTCTTGTATTTATTACATCATCGATTTTATTTTATCAACTATCTTTCAACTGAACTCTACTCACTACATTACTATGTTTATTCATTATGTAATCAATTGTTTCTAACCCACTTTTGAACTGTTGTCACAATGTTGTAGAATATTCTTTCACATTAGGTATATATTTACAATATTCAGTAAGCAATTTAAACCCATTATGTAATTATGATTTTTAAATATCACAGGTTGTAAGAAGCTGACGAGAACCTACGAAATAAAATGAATTCATGCTATTCTGCTAGAATCTTTGTTCTTGCTCTTTTCAAAATAATGAAATTGCAAGTTGTATTTATGCAGTAAGTTAGTGATTAAATAATATCCAGTACTACCCACTTCAATTTATTAAGATCTAATTATTGATCAATGTATATAGGAAACATGTGAAGAATAGTGTATTCAGGCATAGTTTTGGATCTATTTTTGATGTGTAATAAATTTATCGTCTATCAACATTTGGTTTGTACTTTGCATTGGGCCACAGATCTGCTTCTTTTTTAGTTTTACAGCACTATATTCAATACCGAAAAAAGGAGACAACGATTGTCATCTATAATGATTATTTTCCTGATCAAACTTTATTACAAAACTTAATGAAAATGCATGTATACAATAATCAGGGGAAAAAGAAGGGAAGAGACTAATAATAATAATCAGTAGTATACAATACCATAAACTGAGAGAACATAGATGATTAGTAACACAACTAAGAGATAAATGGTGATAATCTTGGGGGTGAGAGAGACAAAAGGACGAAGGAAGTGATGATAGAGATAAAAATTTACAACACAACATCTACACGCCTCAGTATGTTTACCTTTTTTGCCGGTGTATTAATGCATATTGTGTACATTTTAAAAAGTACTCTTCAATACATATATGACGTTTAGCAGTGGAAGCAAGTGATAAAAAGAAGCAATGAAAGGCGAGGGAGTAGATAAACAAACAAGTACAAAAGAAATGAAATACTCGCCCATCGAGAATCAATCTTCACAATTGACTATCACAATTTGACACAATACAGTATACAAATAATAATAGTGATGATAATAAATTAAATAAGAAGTAAACTTAAATGGAAGAAAAGTCCTGAATAACTCTGTCTATCGCTTATATTCTTCTTTAGACTATAAGTTCTGTTATTTTGTTTTTAATGGAAAGTAACACGATTATAAGGAGTAAAAACAAATTAAATGAAATTATACACATTTCTTTTTCATTCTAATAATGATTTTTCTGTACAAATAGAGAAAAGTGAAAGAATATAAGATTTTAATCAGTAGAAGAATAAAGGCAATACACTACTATACCTTGGTGTCTTTAGTTAAATCCCAAGATTGTAGCAGAAAGACAACGAATTCATAAGTTCCAATCATAATACAAGAATTAGGTACTTGACGAATATAATGAGTTGCCATACCACGATAAAGTCCACTTATACCTTCCTCTTTGCCAACTAAATGAAGTGTACGAAAAAATCCTCGATATTGTCCAGTTTCTTCACGTAAACGAGTTCGAGCTACTTCTATTTAGTAGTAAAGATGGAAAATTATATAGAAAAATTTTTTTACGATTTCCAGATTTGTAGGATAGTATACTATCAAAATAAAACAAACTGTTTGTTTTTCTGTATCAAACTCATTAACAGTAATCCTATATATAAACATAACTGTAGCTTTATATGAAAATAAAATGGATTAATTATTCTTCATAGTCAAAGTACACTGGACGGAAGTTCATGAAGTAAAATGCTTCGAAACTATGTAACAAAGAGGACAGAAAACTCACTAAATTTTATTTAATGTACATTTTTTCTCAATTATATTCTATATTGATTGTTTCCACGATGTTGTTACATAACATAAATTTCTTTTATAATTCACTAGACGATGGTCTTAATTTTTCCAAACCCATCACATGACTAAAATTGGCCTTGTGAAATAGGTCTAGGTCAACTATTCACAATGTCTCGAAATTTACAAACATGGACTAGATTGTGGAAGTTTCTATATTTGCCACTGTTAATCTATTGATTGAGCCAATCATGGTTGTTACAACAATACTTGGTGACCTAGAGCGTTAATACACACCCAGGTTAATCATGTGATACGACAGAAAATAGACTGAATGACTTTGTAAATTTAAGTCTAAGACCATTTCATCTACTTGTCTATCATCATCCGGGTAGTGATCTTCCGTTCTTATATTCTAAGTAATGCCTGGAAATCAAGTGTACACACGCATTGATTTACTTTTATTGGTCTTTAATGGTCTGCTGTAAAACAATATGGATTGATATTTTTTCCTAAGGTCATTTCTGTATTACTGATAATCAAGGCAGCAAAAAGAAAGACGTAAAATGAATTTCGAAGTAAAATATTCTTGGAATTAAGTTATTTGACAAAAGAGATTTATTGTTTGTTTAAATTATTGATTTAAATCTAAGTTGTTGTTTAAGCTAACAAACGATTACAGTCATTTATAATTACCTGGACATAAAAAAGCCATAACACAATTTGATAGAATATGAAATTAGGAACTAATATAATCTAGTCAACAAATGTACGTTAATGTACTCTAGGGCTTTTTATTTATGTTAATAATAATCAGTGCAAGTTAAATGCACTGGTTCACTCAGTTACTTCAATCGAATTATTTATCTGAGTTTGAACCCATATCTATTATTAATTGTGGTGGTGAAGCGATGAGTTAGTGGTTAGGGCACTCGAGCGACTTTCAGTCACTAAGTTCCAGATTTGAATCCCACTTCGGAATCTGTTCAACGTTAAAAAATTTGGGTTGACATCTGAATTCTTATTGGGTCGCGATCCTCTAACCTCCTATCAGTCCTACCCTTGAGTCCAGAAATCAGTAACCAGCCTTCATTAATAATGTATTTTAGACAAACGCAGTTGATATACAAGCAGACCAGACCACATCACACCGTAAAATATAAAATACAATTATACATGATCAAGCCAAAAAGTGGTTGAAAGTACGGGAGACTATGAATAATAAACCACCAGAAGATTAAGAATAGTTAATAATACAACAGTAGTTAATAGGTTAATCGGAAGCTGATATATATAAAGAGAGAAAAATTCTAGAGTCCTCTCTATCTATGCACCAAAGCTGATTGACTAAAAACGAACCAATCAGAGTGGTCCCATAGATTTTTTCATGGAATATGCTTTAATTTAATCTATGTCCTATCAACATTAGCACTCAAATTTAAGTGTGGCTCGTAACAAAGTACCTGGTGAGTAAGTTAATTAATTAATCAATGGAAGGTTAAGTACCTAAATAAAAATTACTAATATTCATGCTACCACAATGACCGCTTACGTACTTACCGTGAGGATATAGAGCAGTAATAGCGATTGCTTTAGAACAAGCACTAGCAATCATACACAAGATCATATCTTTTGAAGCAGATAATTTACTTCCGCCACTTGAACCACGAAAATCCGATGCTTTTTGAGGCAGATAATCATTATTACTACTGTAAACAGATTGTTCCGATATTGGAACAGAACTATTAAGAGTTAATTGACGTTTACGTTTATGCTCTCTCCAAAGCAGTTCTGATTTAAAATTTTCATATACAACGAAGTTTAAAGCTGTTTCTAGAGAACCAAAATACGATGCACTTACACCTCGGTAGAAGCCACGTAATCCATCTTGCTTCCAAGTGTTACGTATAACTTGTGAAACAGTAATAGGTGTATGGCCTGGCCTATAAATCATAAGAAACATGGTGTATTAGAAGTGTTACTTTTTTTCTACTGTCCATAACTTTTATAAATGTAGATTACAAAAAATTAAAATCAACGTATATAGCTGCACATAAATTCATAATAAAATATATAAGTAATTAATTATCAATCCTGACTAGTATTGGGGAAGGATGGAAGAAAGTTACGAGCAACCAAACCAAAACGTAGCATCAGTCCACAAAGTCACTGACTTCTGGTCTGAGCCATGTTGGTAGATACAAACTACTTGGTTGGGGTCCGCGCCACTATCGTAACCAATGGTTGGAAACTCTTGGTGACATGGTTCAGAATCGATCACAATGGTGTAGGTATATACACCCTCCGTCTTCGCTTAAACTATTAGAATAAAATCGCATTATACCTTCCTTTCTACGAACTATTTCTTCCTGTATTATATCCTTACATGCAATCTTTCTTTTACTATCACTGAAGTAACTACTTCTATGAACTTGGTGTTCATCTTGTTGTGCTAATGAGATATGACAACTCGGACCGATGCATATATGTGCCTGTTCTTACGTTGTAGATGACTGACTGACTAATTCTAAATGTAAAATTTAATGCTCAACCTGACAATTATTAGTACAGATTCACGTTAGCTGCTTTCAGACACGCTAGTACGAAAAGCCAGTGGTACTATTCAACTGTCCGAACTGAAGTAAAGAATAGTTTGAATTTGGAATCCAGTATTTATTTGAGTACTTTTGATACATTGTTTAAAACTGACAAATGTAACATGGAATGTAAAATGAAACAAAATCCAAAAACTAATTAGAATTAAAGTGATATTAACGGAAAGCTGGGAAGTTTGAAGATTTCTTGGCAGTCGATTTAATTATCTAAGATATTAAAACTGGACCACTAACATTTTATCCACTGATATACATCGTAAAGTTAGAATAACACGGGAAACTGTATTATTTTGACTATGGAATTAGTAATCCAAGGTGTTATGAACCGCGAAGTTAAATCCAAAAGTATGTTGGAAAACTTTGAGTAAACGACTTTGGCGTTTAGGTAGGTAAACTTAGCTAATAGCAGACAAGTGTTATTCTACTCCAGAGAACAAACAACAGCTAATACATGCTCTGATAAACATTCGCTTTCAGCAAGTATTACCATTATATGTTACGAAACACACTAAGTAGCCACATTCGATATTAGCTTAAGACCATACATAAAGATATCGTATGGTCAATGGATAACACTAACAAATTTATTATAAAAATAGCAGTAACAACTGTTAATCAATCGGAGTGGGAAATTGAAGAGTCAATAAATTTCTTCAGCTTCTACAAAATGTTGCTGGAGGGACTTAACCTGATAGGCTTCATGCACGATGAAAAACAGAAGTAACTTAAATTTAAACTGACAAACAGTTGGTAATTAAGCAATTTTGACCAAAGAAATAAAAAGGCAAACAAGACAGTGTTCAAAAAATGACACTAGACACATGTACCAACAAAATGAACGTGAAATGTTTCCAGTTAGCGAAATTATTGCTGGAAATGAAGTATCAATAGTCCAATTATCGGTCATGAAACTGGGATAATGGCTGAAACGTCTTAAAGAGCAATTCAACCGGTTTCCAAGCATATTTTAGTTGTCTGCTACCCATCGATATCTATGAGCTAACGTTTTGTCATGGCTAGCAAATAAGCAGGCTGGAAAAAGCGACTAAACTAAAACGCATTCAATCCACAAAATCACTGATTGCTGAATCAAAGTCGTTTGGGAACAAACAAACTTGTTACCAAAATCCCACAAGATAGTTGTAATCTATGGTTAATATATTACGCGATATGACTCGAAATTCATCGTAGTGACGCAAACAAATTTGGTTTTTCATCGTTATTTCGGTTCATTATCATACTATTCTTCCTATTGGATGATATTTTCTGTCTACTTCCCCACTACCGTCGGGATAATTATTATTCTTGCTTTTTCTCGGTTGGTTCGTTCTGACTGCGCTGCCAAGAAGTGGGGCAACTCGAGCTAGCACACACTTCTATTAGGTCTTACGTTGGTTGCGTGTATTTATCGGTTTATGTCTAAAATATGGTAACAATTTGGTTAGTAGAGCTTATTTCAGAATGGGACAGCGCATAAGCATCATAAACCCAAAAGTAAATCTAGAAATTGATAAAACTGAAGAAATTTGATTTAGGTTTACAATTCCACACTGGATATTAAACGAATGGACACTGGATATTATTGGCTACTAGATAACAGGACAAATACATTGGATACAAGACTGGAAAATGGAGATCACGATATCCGATCACTTGATATGCTACCCAATTATCTAACTAATACTTAGGAAACAACTTATGGGTCAGAACATATTAGCAAGAAGTATAAAGCAGTTAGCAGTGAAATCAGAGAAGTAAAATACGGTTAGATGTATCTATCTTTGATCATGAGTTAATCATATCCCACCTTCTCCGACAAACCAGAAATATAGTTTTAAATTAAGGACACCATGACTATTGAAATCAGATAAAATAGAATATGAAAAGGTTGCAAAAATAAAGATAATAAAGGCAAAATGAACAAGCATCGAAGGACCTCTACCAAAAACTCGAAGGCATTTTCAGTTGTTGATGTATATGTGACTGATGATATATCTAAGCGCATGTACTGTTGGTAAGATACCAAGCAAAGGGTTAAAAGAAGTGACTAAAAATCACAATTAGCAAAACGTTTGAACCTGCGGCCATGAGAATGAATTGGAAAGCAAAATCATTCAGTTACGATTCTACATGAAAACCTAATTCACTTAAGCTCTCAGTTTAAAAAAATAAACCAGATCAAGAAAAAAACCTACTGCAGCTAAACGAACTGTACTTAAATACTTACATACGCCTGTTTAAAATTAATCCACTAAGCTTTTGATGACTTTCATTAATTGTTTTTAAATAAAGTGTGTCTATAGGGCGATTAGTAAATAAGTTAGATAAGAAAAACTGTATCGAACCTGTGGATTCAGCTATTTAACTTGAAAATAGTATTTGGTCGAAAATTGATATCGAGATGATAGATTATTGAAAACTAAAAAGTAATTGTTAATTCTACATTTGCACTGCTCAGTAGTATGAACCATGGATTTTACACAAGATCGAATCCAGAATTTCTAGACCCGATGTTGAGCACTATACTGTTAAGCATACTCATGAAGAGTTCTGAACTGGGACTAAATAACTGAGCAGTGAATTCTAGTTTTGATTGATTTTTCAGCTGATTTTCATCCACGACATAAAGATTACTTTTAAAGATTAATGACAACATTAGAAGTGAATTCACTAAGCAAATGTAATGACTTTAAACAAAAAACCTGTAGTGTCGGTTGTTATGTTAAGCCCATATAGCTTATTCTAGCTTCTGGACAAGCCAGTTTATTCATCCTTCTTGAGTTACATTTTGACCTTGTTGGTTATTCGCTTATCAATCTTGACTGTTTTTACGTAAGCATATGCGTGTGCCCCTTTTTATCACATTCATCACATGTCTATAACTTATATTTGTGTGACTATAAATCACGATTAACGCATGAGTAAATTTAGTTGTCTCACACGCCCTCTATCGCGCGTCATTTTGCTTCGCTCTCTTCACTTCGCTTCGTTTCTCCGATAGTTTATCTAGATCAATGATTGTATGAAATATACATATTTGAAATCTATTTTCGAATTTGACTTATTTAATTCAGTTGTTCACTAACGCCAGTTAAGTAGATGATAATATACAAGGATAGCCAGGATGTATATTTTGACAACAATCATTCATACGATCCAACTCGAGCCAGATATTTGAAGGTCACTAGAAGTCCATATTAACATGCCTTAACGTAAAGTGTAAGTGGCAAAGATAATATGATTGGTTTAGAACAGATTGTAGAACAGTGGAAAATTTGAGCATCCTATCGTCTTTGAAATGAATAAATATAATGAATGACTGGTCCGTATTTACGATGAATAATGATTCCATGTACTCGTGTTTCTAAAAACAAGAAAATGAGTAGGGCGTTTGTTACTATAAAAAACAGATATACAATTTCAACTTGCCGTGAATCTAATTGAAGCCTTGTTTTTACAAACCAAATAGGATTGGTTAAGGAAGAAGCGGTTATGCCTGTAAAAGTAATGCCAGTAGAAAATGTATTAATTGGTCATCGAAACTAAAGAATATTAATGCTACACTAGCCCGTAAAATAAAACATTATCAAAAATAACAATTACGAAAACTGGATAAAAGGGAGTAAAAATGAAAATATGTAAGCAAGAAAAGAATTTTGAAAATTCAACCGGTAATTCAATACAGATGGAATATTTCCATTAAATATAACAAACAAATCACTGGAGTAATAACAAACGAAAACAACTCTCAACAATATGTGGAGATATGGTGACGGCTCAGTCGTAATGTATTAAAACGAGAAAATGAATAGAGAATAGTACAAGTTCAAAATCTCTTCAGAGAAAGCAATGAGTGCATATGTATCATCGTGTTTAACTATAAGCAATGTCAAATAATGTATCTAAGTATAACATCTGAGACACTAACTTGAACCAGTTTTTTCTGCTTCCAAAAACACTCCATAATTTAAAACTAAATTACGAGGTAGGGAGGACTTTGTATTTTACAGAGTGGAATCCATTTAAATCTTTCAAGTTATGAGACATCAGTAAGGTCAGTAGGCCAATGTGATCAGTCACAACGTCTAACTCAGTTAAAGGATACTAAATTTATTCACAATGTAATTACTATGCATGAAAGTAACTTACTTATTTACAACTGTTACCCCTTGTAGAGTACAGGCTGCCAACCAGCAACCTCCAACTTACTCTGTTCTGAGCTTTCCTTTCCAGTCACTGTGAAGTTCTATTCATTCTTTTGATTCCTAACCCAGGCGCAATGTGTTCATTGGTCTTCCTTTTTCCCTTTAGCCTATAAGATTCCAAGTTAGAAATTGCATCGTGACGTAATTTGATGATTTCCGCAATGTGTGTACTATCCACCTCTAATGTTTGGTGGAGTTTTGTTCTCTGAGCTGGATGTTTTGGTCATGGAGCCTTCATCATCCTTGTGAACGACATTATTGCGACAAACTTCAAATAGAAATGAAGTGTTCGAAGTGTCCTCTAGCGTCTTTTCTTGATTTCCTCTTCAACTGGAAATTAGTTTATTCTCTCCCACAGTAAGTTGTCGCTCGTGTCTGGCCAACAGATTTGGAGTATTTTGTGTAGACAGTTATTTATAAATTCCTGTACATTTTGAGGATGGCTGTAGTAGTTCTCAAAATTTCAGCTCCCTACAACGCAACTGTCTTGATGTTTGCAATGAAAATTCTGACTTAGGTGTTAGCTGGTTTGTTTTGAGTTCCAGATGTAAAAATACTTCCTTTGCCGATTTGTGCCTTCGCATTTCCCTCAGATCATCCATGTTTATCAACGATGCTATCCGGGTACGTGAAAGTTCCCACTTCTTCTAGAAGTTAGTGTTTTTAGAAAGGTTCTTTCCTGCGGGATGAAGTTGCTAATCTCATACCCAATCATCCTTCTTTACCCGGGCTTGGGACAGGCAGTAACCTTAGAGGAACTCCAGGTAGAGTAAATTAAGTTTTTATCTCTAACCATTAATTCAACACCTCGTTGGGACGAACTTTTCGAGTATAGACGATAAATTGGTCCCAGCTCGTAAAAGAGGTCCTGGTCATTTGATTGATTTCAAATGTGATTCAATCGAACTGGTCACCGATATATATATATATATATATATATATATATATATATATATATATATATATATATATATATATATATATATATATATATATATATATATATATATATACAATGTGTACATAATTTCGATTACTTACTGAATACGGGTTAGTGTACGTAGTTCTAAGTTACACTAATTAAGTGATGATTAGCGACGCTACCTATCCACCAAAACCGAAATAGGTGGGAGTGCGGCTCAAACCTGCTACACACTTGCTTAAAACCTGATTCTATTAACAATTTACCTGCTCCAAAAGAAACTATTTTCGACAAGATCTGATGGGTTGTTAAAACCAAGCTGTTTCGTACACTGTTGCGATTTAATAAATACCCCCAAATGCCCTGGTTCAGCGGAGAGTGGGGAGAGTCCACCCTCCCTCTCGAAATGCTCTCACATGGCCATGCGTATACAGTCATTGTCACGGAAGTCCTACTCACTATCTTCTCGTGGCAAGGGTGTTGTTTACGAAAATCAGAGAACGGAAAACGAATGTCCAGTGCTTTATCCGTGTTGGTGGATATGGAGGATCCAACTAAGGGGTTGTAAATCCCTGATTTCAAACCAATGGTGCACATGGGCTCCAGGATCCTGAGAGAACAAATGTCGTACGGACTCATTGTTGGTCACCGGCCACCATGAGACTGAATATCCGAACATCGCATTGTAGATTAGATCCCTAGGTGAGAAGCTCCAGATGTGGTTCCCTAAGAAAAACACTTGCTTTGGTCTGGACACCCGGGTAGTATCACAGCCCACACACAAATTAAGTGACTTGTGTGGCGCAAATGTATTCTGTGGCCTATTGTACCAATATTCATGTGTTCAAATAAATAAATAAAATAAAAAGAAACGGCATCAAAAACACTTACTTGCAACTCCAGCAGCACATAAATAAACAAATGAAGAACCAGGCTGGAAATATTTTTCAAAGAATAACTGTCCATTATGATATGCACAAAAGTATATACCTCTAAAAATATAACATTAATTGCATCAGTCATTTTAAAATTATGAAGATTGTAGTCATAGTTTAATTCTTGTGTCGTAGCTTGTCGGAAGAATAAATACGAACCGTTAATCAATTGGAGTACATCAAAAGCTTTTATTGTTCCGTTACCTTAACATTGGTCGACTGTAATATACTAGAGCGATTATTATTATTCATAAGAGTGGATACATTTTTTGAGGTTTGAACCTGTGTCACCAAAGCTTGAATTGAGCCTGGCATTTGACAACCTAGGGTGACAACTAACAACCACTGAACAGAAAATCGACTTCTTCAACAAGCGATTTCCTTAGTGATAACCTGTGAAGATTAACGTTGAGAGGAAGTACCTAATGGGATCCGAATTAAACTATACATGGTGTCATATCCACTCGCAGTAAGTACTACGATACAAGAAATATGGATTCTGATAATAAGCTTCATATTCGTATTCAGTTCGAAACTCCACCGAATCCTGAAATAGTGTAGACGTACATCTTAACGATGTTATTAAAGTTTAGTTCATAGTATGTGCAACAAATAGTCTACGAGATAAAACCTCATGTTTACATAGACACTTTTAGTGAGACTAAACAATGTAAGACCAGACCCAAGTATAGTTTAGCATTGTGTACGAATAAATCATATTTTAGAACTACATTATCAAGGGAACATAACATTCACATCAACAGCTTCTAACTACTACCCAAGAAAACTAAAATAATTAACAAAGAACACTCAGCTCCTAACTATAAATTATTTGTATTTACATTTTTGTATCTTTTGGTAAGTACTGCTGCGAAAAGGATTACGCTTAACTAGTCTTTAAAGCAAATCTATTGATCATGAGTAAATTCTCAAAAACAAGGTCAATTTCTAAGTTAGGTAGATATAACAAACTGATAACTTTCGATAGAGCAATGAGAAAAATTTATAAAAAGGGCTAATTGATAACTATTTAGAGATCACTGAAACAAAGCACCTACCGTGTTGGCATCACTCCAACAAGAGTAGGAACTAGACCTTTAAAGAGAGCTGTGGGTCCTTCATAACGAAAAATGTCAATTAACGAGCGAAGAATAAGAGATCGCCGAAGTCCATGAGGTTTGACGTTTGAGAAGTCGGAAGATGTGGTCGGAATGTTGAGAACTGAAGGGTTTGATGAACTAATACATGAAGAAATCCCTGATTTGTGACTGGGACTGGATTTTTGAAAATGTTTAGGATCAACTTGTTTTAAACCATACAACATGCATCGTATGCGCGAAAAACGGTGACTGCGATTATAATCTGGGACGACGTTAGGCCTGAATGAAGATGAAGAAAGTACAATTCCCTTTGAAGATTGTAGGCGAACTTTGACAACTTCTAACGGACAAGTTAAAACTGCTCCAACTGTCCCTCCGATGCTATAAGAAATTATAATGAGGTAAATCATTTACCACGACATTTGCAAAAAAACATGTCATTAACTTTATTCATATGAACCCATCAGAAAGATGGTGTATTTATTCAGACTCACCCTCCTCCAATAACATGCACAGCAGTCTCATCGAACATTAGCCCATCCAACGGATGGTGGAGCAACAAGTATCTGGTAGTTCCAAAAAGAATGTTTTAGACTTAGGAAAGATTAGCCACAAAAACGCAAGATATTTCCAGAATAGAGTCTCATAACATGACCCACAAGCCCACCAGCACGAGCGTTAATCGTGGGCACCGTTTGCAATGACCTTCAGTCGATATTATAATTTCTAATAATTACAAGGTCAGTTTTTTAGGCAGTTTAAAGAGACTCTAGTAGCGAAACATTTTCATCATTTTGTCCCTTTCAGATCAAAGCCGAAGCTAACTACATCAGGGACCATTGGAAGTCAACTATCTGTTTAATTCTGAGTATCTCAAAGTTGGGAATATCAGTTTCAGTTTCAGTTTCAGTTTGGGAAGGACAGGAGGCTCGATGGCCTATGTTAGTCCTGGCAATGGTGGTCTCTCAGTTGATCCAACTTTCTTTTGAAAGAGTCGACGGATGGAGCCTCAACGACGTGCTGAGGTAGTGAATTCCACTCGTTGATGATTCGATGGGAAAGTCGATAGTCAGCTGACAAGTAATTTGTTCTCGGCTTATGAACTTTTTTGGAGTGTCCTCGTAAATTCTCTGTTTTGGAAGACAAGAAAAATGAGGGCATGTTAGGTGCAAATTTATCACTAAGCAATTTGTAGACTGTAATCAAGTCGCCTCTAGTTCTGCGATATGACAACGGGAAAAGGTTCAGCTTGGCCAGTCGAGATTCATACGGAAGCTTCGCTATTGCGGGAACCAGCTTAGTCGCCGTTCTCTGAACCTTTTCCAGAAGCTCACTGTCTTTTTTAAAGCAGGGGCTAGCCGCCTGTATGCAGTACTCAAGTTTAGGACGAACGAACACTGTATACAAAGTCAAAAACGTCTTAGTGTCGACATGACTAAAAGCCCTACGTATTGACCATAACGTTCTAAAACTTTTGGCGGCTATTGCACGGCAGTGTGCAGTAGTCTTTAAGTCTTGACTAACGATAACTCCTAAGTCATTATATGTCTGGACGACAGGTAGCTCAGTGTTATTCATCGTGTATGTATCTGTGCCTTGATGACCGATATGCATCACAACACACTTGGAAGTATTTATCGGCAACTGCCATGTTTGAGACCATTCAGATAACTTCTTCAGGTCATTTTGAAGTTCTAAGCTATCACTCTTACATCGTATCGTTCTCCATATCTTGACATCGTCAGCATATAGCAAGACCGATGATGATAGGAGACAAGGAAGGTCATTTACATACAAGAGGAATAGCACTGGCCCCAAAACTGTACCCTGGGGCACTCCGCTAAGCACAGTTTCCCAGCTAGATAACTTTGAGTTCACCCTTACTCTTTGTTGACGCCCAACTAAGAAGTCTTTTATCCACATCAATAAATTACCTCCAATCCCGATATGTCTTAACTTATATAACAGCCGGTTGTGCGGAACTTTATCAAAAGCTTTACTGAAATCAATGAAGGCGACGTCTACAGGTAGCTTTTGGTCCTTAAGAGCGCACCAGCTTTCACGAGCCACTAATAAGTTAGTGAGACAAGAATAACCTATTCTGAAGCCATGCTGCTTCTCCGAGAGGATCCGGTTTTTATCGAGATACTTAAACAGCTCCTTCCGAATAATCTTTTCTAATATTTTAACAACCACACTAGTTAGGCTAACGGGGCGGTAGTTCTCAGGTTTGTGTTTCATGCCTGTTTTGAAGACAGGACTTACTATGGCGTTTTTCCAATCTTTCGGTAAGCGACCCTGCGTAACGGATAGGTTAAAGCATGTACTTAAAGGGTTCGCAACGAATATGAGTAAATGGTTCAAATGATTCAAATGATTGTGTACGGAATGGAAGAAGCTTTCGTTCAAAGAGCTTCCGTGTCTAGTAGCAGTGGATCACTAATACTTCCAGGCAGGAACCTGGGTATATTAACGATAATAGAGGGAAAAAAGAATTTGGTAACTCATAATAAGATGTTATCCTTAGTCCTTAGGAATAGGTCAAGTTTCCTCTTAAAGGACTATTGGGAAGTCGCTTGAACTAGCTCAGTCGGCAAAGAATTCCAGCATCTGACAACTCTTAAGGAGTGGAAGTTGTGTCTACAGTCAGTTCTGCTATGTTGTGTCTCCAGTTTCTGGATGTTGCCCCTTAGGTTTGTATTAGGACTAAACTTAAGTAGGTATTTGAGGAGATGTCCAGAAGTGTTAAGGATACTATAAGCTATTAGAAGGTCACCTCTAAGACGCCTTTGCTCCAATGAGTAAAGGTTGAGTGATTGGAGGCGCTCTTCATAAGATTTGAATTTGAATCCCGAATTGATTTCGTCGCAGATGGACTGCTTTACACTTTGAAGTGTTAAAGTCCGTCATCGACTGCCCAACTTTGAATTCGAGTCCGATCCTCTTGAAGTTCCTGTATATCGTCTTGGTTGCGAAACTCTCCAAAGTTTCACGTCATCAACAAAATGTAATAAGTCTGACGATACTTGTTGTGGAAGATCGTTTATATAAATCAAGAAGAGAAGAGGTCCTAGTATCGAGCCCTGGAGGAACCCACCAGGACACTACATAGCTTGGAAGAAAGTGAAGTTAACCCTGACCTTAAAATATCGATTTTTTCAGGTATAAAGTGAGCCAATCGATTAGAGGTTGTCTGATACCCAATCGTTTGAGACAAATTTATCCATAAGCTTTATCTGGTAATGAAGCCCGTCTTCTCTCATTGCTTTCGTGCATATGTTCCTTATACGCTTGTATTGCCTGTACGCGCCGTTGTTGTCAGTTTTTTTGTATTCTGCCCAACAGTGCCACTTGCGGCTTAGCAGGTGAAGAGGGCGGTTCTTCATGAATGCGGGTTGCTGACAGCTATGGGGGACCGTTTGAGGAACTGACTGCTTTGTAGCACATAAGAGCGTGTGCAGTAAGAAATCCCAATGAGCGTCCACATCAAATAGAACGACCATACTAGGAATTCTCATCAATTAGGAAAGACAGTTTGAACTTGACATCAAAAATTATCTGAAAGGCCCGTTTCCATACATGAAGAGAGGAACTAGACGATGAAACGGACATAGCTGTGAATGCATGAAAACTCATATACATTCTTTGATCAAGATTGAGCCAGAGCTGAAGGCATATCAAAATGACTCAGTAAAGTCTGTTCTGAGGATACTGATATTGAAGTACCACACAACCATACATCTGACATACCAAAACTGGAACCAGTCCTTATCTAGAAGGCAGCAGTCTTCCATTGGTTTGACAGTCTAACATCTCCCAAGTCTCCGAGTTCTGAGAACTACACCTACAGCTACTATCACCCCATGTGGACATTATCTCTGCACAGGCGAGGAATTTCCCCAGTATATCACTTTCCGAGACTCATACTTCAATGGATTGGAAAGGGACTATATTTAGCCTTATGTGTTACAGGATAAATATAACACTGAATTACAACTGTTTTGTTATGATAAATCTGAATTTATACGCAATGGGGTCATGCTTTAAGTATCTAACTTCCTCAGAGCCTCCAAAATCTCACCCCAGAATAAGCCCTTGAACGTTCGTATACCGCATCATGAAAAGTACTTGTGTTTCTCGTGCTGTATACTTAACAGACCATCTGAGGTCGCTTCTCTAATAAATAATTCATTCCTTAAAACTATGAGAGGAGATGTGAGGGACAACCTTTCCAGGTATTTTTGGCAAGTGACTTCAGTGTTATTGGCAGCTCCTTCTTAGATAATAATGTCAAAATAATTACTGATAGTATGAATTTAATATAACAGTTCAGATTGTCAATAAATGTATCTCAAAAGACATGTCCTCTGATAGGATCGTGAAATTGATTGCGGCACTGTGGGATCAGACATTGAAGAGTTTTCTTGGTTGAGCGACTACAACTCCGTTTACTTGAAAGAACATGTGTCTAGTTAAACTGATGTGATCAGTATCAATCCTTAGAACACAACTGTCCGGTGTTTATTGACCTCTCGGACGTCCCGGGGTACTCAATACGTTAACCGTCGAAGTTTGCATCAGAAACGGTATTCTATGGGTATAAAAGGTGTCTCGTCATGTGTCTGTCAGATTATCCAGTCAGGCATCAACAAGCTGTCAGAGTCACCAGTACTCTGTCATGTTCGTTTCTTGTGATAAATGAAGTACCGCAAGGCTTAAGCCTTAGGCAACTATCCTCATTGTTAATTAACGGTCAATCGAACACTGAAGACCAAATGCGAAATAAATACTTGACTTTGACGATATCACTACCTTCAAGTAGACTTATATAGGATCCAAGACTGAAATACCAAAAACCTCATCATTCTCACTATCAGTAAACACAGGATACTAATACTAGGAACTGGCGATGCAGTAGTCACCACTAGCTTCCTCGGGAATTTGGGAACCACGCTTCATGATACTCTAGGTATCTCTTCAAACTGGCATTAAGCGGTCGGTAAAACAAAACCACGTTGGGGATTCTTCCCAGAATAGCTAGTATCCTGAATCTTTTTCCGGGGTTTGACTAAAAGTTCATCTGCGAAAAATCCACCGCGTTATTTCTTCTTACCTTGAGGAAACTATCACTCTTCTGGAGCGCGTAAAAATATTGTAGATCACCAGCGTAGATGATCTATGTCGAATGATCGGGGGCCTACCCGAGTAAGACGGGAACGGCGTGACGAACCAGCTAACGTTGAAGACACACCTCGTGGTCAGCACCTTACATGGACTGCCCTCTTGACTTATCAAGGTACCATAGATGCCTTGAAGACGATACAACACAGAGGACGTTATTACACAAATATATTAGTTAACGTAGATACAAGCGAGAGTAAGACCACTACTGCATGGGCCATTCCATGGCGTACGATTAACTTATGCGCGTTGGTTACCCTTGACCTTGACAATTATCGATGATTTGTTCGATATTCAGTGACCCAACTGCCGGATGATCTGGCTAAGGCTTAGTGGAATTTCACTGACCCTACAATACTACTGAATAATAGTCGGCGTATCCAGATGAATAAAATATATATTGACTAATTTTCGTGAGTAGTGAGCAGTATATCGTGCACAAAAGTGATTTTTATAGGAAGCATAACCGATCCCCTTCAACCGAGAGTTTGTCCAGCAAAAGTAATAAAGCCAGAGTCAGTGTTGAAGATGAACAACACTATATATTTCAAGGGTTTATTAACTACAAAAACCCTACACAGCTTTCTCAGGAGCTCTCAACTAACAGTCGGCACATCATGGAAGGACTGGTGAGAAATATGAACACGATGCACGATAAATAAAAAAGTCATGACCTAATCACC